GTCCAAAATTGATGTACCAAAAGCTACCCCAAGCGGCGCGGCGCCGCGGTTTTTATTCACACGCAAAAAACGCGACAGGTTGGTAACATATGCCTCCCCCCCCCCCCACTGGGGCGAAAGTTAAAGTATGTGCGCAGAGCACCGGTCCGGGCATCTATCCGGCGCGAGTTCAATCGGGACCAGACTGACTCGCCGAATCGAATGCTAGGCATGCGATGTGCTCTCGACCTGCTATTCATCCCAATGCTCATGTTCATCTAACTAATTACCTATCATTAACAAGAGATTGCGCAAAAAAACGAGCCATTTAGAACTTCCGACTTTAGTTCACTTTCGACTCGTTGGTTTTTGTAGGCTATCATTCTACAGTAAAGTATAACGCCTTTTGGGGCGACTAACGGAGCGAGCGAGAGGGTGGGTCTTGCACGTGCGAAATTTCGAGGGGGTACCTCCAACTGACTTGTGCACGGCACCCTACTAAGCGGTCTCTAGCGATGTGCCAAATTTGAGCACAATCCGCCCAGCCGTTCTCGAGATCTGGAAGCGGCACCCTGCACGTGCGCACGTGCAGAAAGGGTCCCAACTGACGTATGCACGGCACCCTACTAACTGGTCCCTAACCGTGTACCAAATTTTAGCGCCATCGGTCCAGCCGTTCTCGAGATCTGGAAACGACCCCTGCACGTGCGCACGTGCAGCAGCACCCCAACTCTGGCACATGGATACACTGTAAAAAATCATAACACGTTTCGTGTTATATGGACAAAAACGACTCGGTATAACCGTGTGATGTTACACGTTTAGTGATGTTATCTTACACGGAAAGGCCGTGTTAAGTAACACTAGAACGAGTTCTAAGTCTGTCGTTTGTAGTGTTCCGCTACTCGCTAAAGACGTGTTACGAGTTTGATAACTCGTCATTGACTTTCTAGTGTATCGAAAGGCGTGCTACAATACTCGCATTAAACATGTAATGTGTTAATTAGCTACACTCGTGTTACTGTGCTCTGCTTAATATCGCTGCGGAATCCTAAATGGTGTTAACATATCGGAGTGTAAGATGTTATTGAGCACGCCAAAAACGTGTGACGTGTTTCGTAGCTCGGTTCGTGTTCATATACTTCCCGTCCAGTACCTCCTTTTAGAATGTATATTAACGCAAAATGAGCTGCATTACACGATTCAATGATCATGTTGAATGAATATATGAATATATAATTCATGTGGACTTATTGCGATGAAAGACGTACCTTCTTTGACGCAAACGGGGCTGTAACAGGCCCAGCCGCGTTTAAACAGAGGTAACGTCTTTAACCGCAATAAATCGACATGAAGTATACATTTATACAACTCATTCCACATAATTATTGAGGCGTGTAACACAGTTCGTTTTGCTTTAACACACATCCTCGTTAGCCAAGTTCATTAAGTCTCAGAGTACAGATCTACTCATTATATATTTCAACAGATTGTTCACAGTAAACAATACACATGCGCTCTGAGCCTCATCAGAAGTAACGCCACGGCGGACGAGCAGTGGACAGTGGTCCTCCGCGATCAGCAACACTAGTATTATGAAAGACACCTATAAACAACACGTCTTTGGGCCTGGCGATGAGAGAGTAGAGGTGCCGTTTCACATGCATTCACTGGCGCGGTCCTCAGCTTGTCGAGCCGCGGTCGTCGCAACGATTTTTTTAACGACTTTCCGGTCGACATTTGGGAGAGCTCTTGCGTCAATACTAGCTGGGAGTTCTGAGCGCTGGGGCATTGAATTTTCTCATTGAACACGGGGAACATTGCCGCACAAACTAGGAGGCGCACACTCAGAGGCGTGTTGTCTTCGGAGATGGCAGCCTCACTCCCCTCCACCCATGACACTAGCGGTACGAGAGGAAATTCTAAAAAGCGTCCAACTTCTCCCGGTCCGTGTCTGAAATAAGAAAGAAATAATGTTAGTAATTGACGAAGTGCATGAGTGAACGGCATAATGATACATACCCTAACCTTCGCACGGGTGGGGGGTGGGGGGGGGGGGGGCGTTGGCCACACCTGCCAGTTTTTTTGCGAGTGTAAAAAACTCGGCGAGCAGCGCTGCGAAACTTGGTATAGCTTATAATACATCAATTTTACATCGTGAGTAATATTTTCGATCCCGGGTCACATAAGAACAGGTCACAGGCCAAGTTAACCCGCGCATGACTGGGGGGGGGGGGGGGCTCTACAGAGCCCCCCTCACGTTTTTCAGCAATATCTTCTAAACTGTTTGACGGATCAACACGAAACTTGCGATACCCTCAGAGGCATCAATTTGACACCTTGTGTTAAAATTTCAACTTTCTAGCTACCATAGTTTAACCGGAAATGACGTCAGAGTGACGTCATGTCGGCCGATTTTCATGCAAAATACTGAATTACGGCAAACGCTCTCAAGAGCTCAGTTTTAAAGCTAGATCCATTTTCTTTGCATGAGTGGACTACAAATACACGTAGCTTTTAAACTGCTATCTCGAATTTTGAAAAATTGGAATATTTTGAAAAATATGTATTTACAATTACAAAAAATATATTTTTTGATTTTTTCAAAAAGTTTTTGACTTTTCGCAAAAACCGGAATACATGTGATAGAACACACCCTGATGAACTACCTTTGCAAGTTTTAGCCCAATATCTTCAAAAATAGCCAAGTTATTTGCATTATTGTCAAAATTTTACAATTTTATATTTTTTTCAAATCCATTTTCAGTACGTTTTTGACGTCGTACAGCAATATAATTGGCACCATCGTGTTCCTGAGCTCAAACTGCATCTGATAGGCACCTTTTTTGTTGAAAAATTTCATTTTCAAAATTTGACCTTTTCTGACCTGAAAGTGGCCTGACCTCCGGTAAATTCAGCTGACAATGACCTCAAATGACACAGACGACACTATATTCGAAATCTACGAGTAAAATGGACCATAAAACCTGCGTCACGTGACCGATACATGATATACAATTTTCGTGACCTAGGATGACCTGGCCTTGACCTTAAAAATTCAAAGTAAAAGTTCGGTACCCTCAGGGTATCTAAGGCATCCGTCAAGGAGTGCGTAAACCAAAAATGAGCTTGATCGGACCGGCGGTCCGGCGGTCAGAGCCTAAATTGTGAACTAGCAAAAATGTCGATAATTTTTTCTTTGACCTGACCTGTGACGTCATCGGTGACCTCGAGGTCAATTAAAATAGGTTTCGCTCGACAGTTTTTCCAGGGCTATCAGATGCCGTTTGAATTTTGACGATCGGCCCAGTAGTTTCGGAGATAGGAGGGGGGGCTCTGGAGAGCCCCCCCCCCAGTCACTCGCGTTATGGAAAATACCCCAGTCATGCGCGGGTTAAGTGATCATGCCTCTTTAAACTTTGTGATTCAGTCATTTCTAAAGTATATTCGTACATCCCAGAAGTTTGAAACTCATGCTATTGCATGAGCTTGTCAGTATGAACAATTTGCATCTCTCGGAATTTTGATATCTGTGACCTAAGGTCAGGTCGATTTTGTGACCCTCCACTGACTTTTAGTCAATGGAAGAAACTTGAAATCCGCTTCTTTTGGCCGTAAATACCCTCAAACATCGGGACACAGATGAACATGGCACAATGAACCGGAAAATTGCACCTGTGACCCCTTTAATGCCTCTGAGGTCATCTCAGGTCACGAACCGTCTCAAACAGTTTCTGAAAACACCAGGAATGTGTTCAGCTTGACAATACGAATCGAATGACATGCAACATGACCTTTTCCGTGACCTTGACCTGAGGTCAAATTTTTAAGTTGACCTTTTCGGGTCAACTTATAGGTTATTCGACGCGTCTCCTCGACGTCATTTTTCTTTGACCTATGACATCACAGGACGGCAAGCAAGGTCAAATTGTAGCAGTTTATAATGACAAACATTTTATTACTAAAGTGACTTATCATTTAAAAGAGACGACAAAACGTTGATACCTATTTAGTCAGGGAGAGAGGGGCAAGTATCGTAGATATTACTCTAGACTACTTTCAGTACCTAACAAGTGCTGAAAAAAATCGGACGTCACAAGAACAGTCGCTTTTTATTTTTTAGTCTTGCAAATAACTACATATATCACTGGCAGTTTATACACACATATTTTGTTAATTTTTAGGATGTGTATGGTTACGAAACGGGAGATGTTCAAAACCGTGACACTTTTTTGAGACACCCTGTAAAGGCAATAAGGAATAAGGATCTCTCCGACATATGCTCCGTTTTTAACTTCCCTAAATTAAAAAACCTGGCGGAGTTTTGAGTGTAGAAATATCAAAATCATGATATTTTTTTCGGAAATTTTGTGGTAGCAGTTTCCTTTGCCATGCATTTTGTACCTAATGTGCGATTTTTGAGTCTCTTGATTGAAAATCTATTTTGTGATTTATTCCCGTGAACGACTTTTTTATTTTTTAGACGGAAAATGTCCGAACATGACCTCAGTTGGACCCCCATAACTCATGACCCGAGGTGACCTAGGACGCATTTTTTAGGAGTTGAGTGAAATTGATGTCCGGAGAAGTACTAGAATCGGCGAGTTAAAAATCGCGGCCGTTTTTGAGTTATCAGCGAGAAACAACAGGGGTGCCTCCCACTCCTCAGCGGGTCGCGGGCGTCGCGGGTTAAGCTTGCACCCTTTACTGAAGTGACCGTCCCTTGACCTCTAAATGGCCATTGCCTGCCATTATACTCTACACGAAAGGCCAACGTTTATAAACTAACACATACTTGGCGATTAGGTAAGTTCACCATCGACTCTATAGTTTATACCTATTATCGGTAACGTTCAACATCAACCCTGATCAACCCAATAGCCAATGCACATCAAAATACAGACGGCTGAGTTTCGGCGTCCGGATCCGTCCGCCGGAGGAGGCAGTCAGCCGTCGCTATGGCAACGGCCTGGCGCTTGGACAGCGGGACAGCTGACCACGGGAGCGGGACGAGAGAGGAGGGAGGGGCCTTGGGAGGGAGAGCGCAGGGGTAGAGCGGGCCCGGGCTCTCGTCGGATTTGGGTAATCGGTTATGCTTTTGACGATAATAAATATGTTAAACATGTGATTTTAATTTTCAATATCGGCTTCATATTATAGAAGGCAAAATCCTAGTCTACTAAAATACAACACAACAGAGTCCCATGCAGACACTAATTGTGATTTGTGATATGTGAAATAATAAATCGGCAGAAATAGGACAATACCTTCTTATCCTGTTAGCAGTTGAGCCGCATTCATCAAGGAATGAAGTCCTGCCTGACAGTCTTGAGCTCTGACTGTGGGACTTCGAGATTGACCTTCATTCTGCTCATCTTGAGCCATATTCTGAAATAAATAAATTGTGTCAGTTCGCAGCCAAACAGATGTATACCTACTTCTTATCCACAGACAAATGGAAAAGCAGAGGGAGATACCATGGGAAAGAGAGAGAGAGAGAGAGAGAGAGAGAGAGAGAGAGAGAGAGAGAGAGAGAGAGAGAGAGAGAGAGAGAGAGAGAGAGAGAGAGAGAGAGAGGCAAGAGAGAAACCAGGCAGACTAATTATAACTAGCTGGTAGATACATAGCAAAAGTTGAAAAGGTACAGTCAAAATTATTCATGTAAGTAGCATGTTTACAAACGCACACATAGCCACCAGTGGTGGAGTGACAGAATGAGAATCAGGGCCGAGGGCTCCTCCTTTCCATCCATAACGCCACGCTACACGGATAATATTTATGTAACCACACCTAAAAGGCATTTAATATCACTGATGTTATTGCTAAGAAAAATTTGGAGCAAGTATCACTTGTACTTACCAACAAGACGTCACACGCAGCACAGACACGACCTCCCTGGATCGCACAAAGATGGCGACTGAGGCCCACGCGGCGCTGCATTTGGCGCGAAACTGAACCGAGTAAGTTAACAACCCACAGTGTTAATTGGTGTTAATGTCCCTCAAGATCGCGGCCCAAATAACCCCATTCGGGTTTTTAAACTCGACGCAGAGGGGTAAAACACGGCAACGTGTCATTCAACACGGTAGAACCGTGCGCAAAGATGCTTCCACAAAATCGTATTCGTGTTTCGGAACACAGTGTCCGCCAATTGCGGGTATGAATACATGGCGATTACTCGAACAGTGTCATTGTACATGGGGATTCCGAGCTAGTTCATCCTGATTTGGACTAACCGTGTTTTGCTTCGCAATAAGGTTTAAATTACTCGATAAATACGGATTCATTAGCAAGTTAGTTGTTTGAACACATCGTTAAAGTGAGTCAGAAAACTCAAACTGTGCTAACATTTTTTACAGTGTATGCAGTGCCTAGTGGGTGCCTACCTACATGCCAACTTTCAGCGCAATCGGCCAAGTAGTTACCGAGATATTGCAACAATTACAAAACTGACACCTCTTCGTTTTGCACGTGGCACGTGCATAAGGGGTCACCCACATGCATCGGGAATAGTCCAATACTTGGTAGAAGGAATGAAGCTACCCTACAAAAATTACCGCGTGTAAATCGGTCAAGTGGTTGCTGAGATATAGGTAAGCCTCGCAAAAGCGTCCGCACGGCCGGCCGGCCGCTCATACTTAGAAATTTCGGGAAGGAAAGACTACGCTCGCTTCGCTCGCTCCGTAATAAATCTAATTCAATATAAACCTAATTCAATATACCCTGCCAATAAATTACCATTTTGAATCATATTCCTTTCATCTGAAGCGTGCTTTTTATTAAGAGGAAGATGACTAGATAAGATAGGAAGAGGATGAGCGATTGACAAACGTGCAGTAGACGTCCATGACAAATATACCTACCGGTTAATAGGTATCGACATTGCGAGGTTCAGAAAAGTCAAAAATAGTCTCACAGCAAAGTTGCAGTTGCTCCATGAGTCGACACTCTTCGGCGTCCACTCCCTTAGCTCGTGAATTGTTTCCGTCGCCCAAGGGACGCAGCTGACGCCGACCCAGGCGATAAGAACTTCACAGTCATGCCTGGCCCCCGTGTCGCTAGACGTCTTCTACAGTATAAAACGGTCGGCAGAAAATCGGGTTCGTCACTTGTTCGTCTACCAGGTCATCCCAGGTAAGTTCGAACCTCGAGCTACTTGAAACATCATCCAACCAGTCCAGCCAGAGTCTCTGATATGTTGTTACGACCGTCAGAGCTACCTTGCTTTGCGCTGCGAGCAAAGCGGCCTGTAATCATCTCGAATTAGGATGAGTTGTTTTCCATCGTTGGATCTCAGCTCGTTTTGTTCGCTCGTGTTTTGATAGACGAGTAGAAAGTTGACTTCATTTTAACGAGTAAAGAGGGTAAGCATAAGCTGCGTTGGGAAACATCTGAATAGGCTTATTGGTCGTGACATGAAAATCATGGTTTCAAATGGAAACGTTTTGGGACGTTCTTCAATTTCAATTCAAGGTTTTCTGCCAACCTGAATCCAAGCATCCCAGTAGCTAACTAGTATCCCAAATGTCATCATGTCATGTACCTACTGTTATGGGCGGCTCAGCTAGAAATCTGGCGATTTTTCCAGTCGTCCACCATGCGCGCCGCCATTCTCGTGCTGCTCGTTGGAGCAGCCTCCTCCTTCGTGGAGCAGTCCGAGTGGAACAACTTCAAGCTGAAGCATGCCAAGTCCTACGCCAACCCCATCGAGGAGTTCTACAGGATGAAGGTATACGCATCCGACGTTAGCGGTAACTGTTAGTATGCGAACATCTGGCCTACATACAAATCTATGGAAATTGGATTTTTTATAACATCGCAAAATGAGCAGAGATTATTCTATACCAGTAAAACGCCTTTTTGGGCGAAGAACGAGCGAGCGAGATAGTGAGCCCTGCACGTGCGGAAGGGCGATAGGGTACTTCCAACGGGCTTGTGCATAGCACCTTTCTAACCGGTCGCTAGCGGTGTGCCAAATTTGAACGCAATCGGCCCAGCCGTTCCTGAGATCTGGAAGCGGCATTCTGCACGTGCGCACGTGCAAACGGGTCCAAAATGACTTTTGCACGGCACCCTACTAACTGGTTCCCAACCGTGTACCAAATTTGAGCGCAATCGGCCCAGCCGTTCTCGAGATCTGGAAACGCCCCCTGCACGTGCGCACGTGCAGTAACACCCTAACCGCAACACATGGGAATGCATTGCCTGGTGGGCGCCTACCTGTATGCCAAGTTTTAGCGAAATCGCCCCTGTAATTACCGAGTTACTGAAATGGGAACAAATTTGGCACCTCTTATTGTTGTATTTTGCACGTGCACTGGGGGTGAGCCACATGCATCGAGAGTACCCTATTTTGGGTAGAAGGGATGCTGCTACCCTACAAAAATTACCGCAAGTCAATCGCCCAAGCGGCTGCTGAGATATGAGCCTCTCAAAATCACTACTTTTGCAAAGAGCTTGAACACCCTTGACTTTTCACGTGGCACGTGCGACGATGGTCACTGAGATGTATCAAAAGTAGTCAATTACGGGGTAGAAGGGATGGGGCTACCCAACAAAAAAGACCGCAGGCCAATCGGTCCAGCGGTTGCTGAGATATAAGCCTCTCAAAAGCGTTACAGGCCGGGCCGGGCCGGGCCGCTCATACTGAGATTTTTCCGTTAGGTATATTGAAAAGACTCACTTCGCTCGCTGCGCTCGCTCGCTCGTAATAACATCGCAAAATGAGCTATCAAATTGTCACTGTCTAAAAATATGTAATTACGACAGCTCATAGAACCACACTTGCCCGTAGCTGCTTCATTTTTAACTAGCTAAGCATATAGAATCTACACCGAGTGTCAATGCACACATACCTACCGGTGCTATCAAGCCCATTGTTGGTTCTCCCGAAAAGCACTCGCGCTGTTCCCATGCATACACAATACACATGGCGCTGATGAGTTGTTTCGCCGCGCAGGTGTACGCCGACAACAAGGCCTACATCGAGCAGCACATGAAGGAGCACGCCGAGGGCAAGCACACCTTCACCGTGGCGCTCAACAAGTTCGCCGACCTGACCACCGAGGAGTGGAGCAGCCAGTACAAGGGTCTCAAGATGGGCAGCACCACTCCCCACAAGACCCACCAGGTGACCGGCAAGGCTCTGCCGAGCAGCCAGGACTGGCGTCAGTCGGGTGCCGTGACCCCTGTCAAGGACCAGGGCCAGTGCGGCTCGTGCTGGTCGTTCTCTGCCACCGGCTCCCTGGAGGGCGCCTGGGTCATCGCCGGTAACTCGCTGACATCGCTGAGCGAGCAGCAGATTATGGACTGCTCGTGGGCCTACGGCAACCAGGGCTGCAACGGCGGCTGGATGGACCAGGCCTTCGAGTGAGTTCTTACGGACGATTATTTATGTGCAGAAGTACAACTTTGGCTGTGTATTTATTGAAGTTGTAAAAGAGAACACAATATGACACTTTGATCAACACATTTTTGAACCTATACAATAAGAAGTGCATGCTTCGATGACGTACGTCCATTTATCACTATCTTTTAGAATTGAATGTGGGCCACATTATAGGATTAGGTAATACCATCTATTTTTGGAACCATTGAATGCAAATCGCATCGTAATATTTTTTACGAGTAAAAGAAACCATTCTTCTTACGCACGCCATGGCTGGTAATCAGAGGAATACCATGTCTTGCTTACAGAATTAGTAAATCGTTACATGTAAGTCCCTAGCGTCAGCAGAATCCCCGTGTTTTACACCGAATGCCGTCTCCCACAGTTACATCAAGGCTAACGGCGGCGTCCAGACTGAGGCCTCCTACCCGTACACGGCCGCCGACGGCACATGCCAGGCCACGCCGCCGTACGCCGCCACCGTGTCCGGATACACGGACATCGCCGGCGGCGACGAGGACGCGCTGGCCGACGCCGTCGCCAACGTCGGCCCCGTGGCCGTGGCCATCGACGCCTCGCACATCTCGTTCCAGTTCTACTCAGGCGGCATCTACAACGAGTCGCGCTGCTTCCACTACCTGCTCGACCACGGCGTGCTGGCGGTCGGCTACGGTGACGGCTACTGGCTCGTCAAGAACTCGTGGGGCACCAGCTGGGGCGACAGCGGCTACATCAAGATGACCCGCGACGGCAGCAACCAGTGCGGCATCGCCACCCAGGCCTCCTACCCGTCCGTCTAGACTCTGGCTAGTCGGCTTGTCACAGTCTTGGTCAATATTTGGCTGTATGTCCATTGTCCATGTCTGAACTACTGTCTGAACGTCCTTTCTTTTCTGGTCCACCGGCCTACGTGTCGGCTCACTGGTCGCTGATCTGATTCTGGTTAACGTCTGGTACAAATAAATGCCCTACTAAGTAACATCGTGTCATGAAAGCATATCAGAGTCCCTAGGATCAGAGTCCCGACTGTTATTAACCCGCGCCGTGCTGGTAGCCCAAGTTCTCCGTGCCGTGCTGGGGCTGGGGGGTCTAACTAGGCTCCTGGGCCACATAGCGACATGCAGGTAAGCGGCAGTCGAAAGAGTGTCAAAATAGTGAAGAAAATACATCGGTCATTTTTTTGGGTCAAGTCAAAAGTCAGGTCGCCAAAGGTCATCATCGGTCAAATTTTGCCTATTTCAACCATTTTCGAAAAAAAAACTAGCACATAACTCGGGAACCAATAGCGCTACAGCGTCGCGAAAAAGCGCATTCGATAGTCCTTTTAACGCTCTTTCTGGTTTATGTTCTCAGATTTGACCTCAGGGCAACGGTTTAGCCTCCAGAGGGCAATTTCTCCCATTGACTTATAATGGAGAGGTCCCAAAATTGGCCTGACCTTAGGTCACAGCTATCGAAATCCCGAGATATACATTTTATACATATTGTTACTCTTTATCAATCGCTGAAAGTTTCAAAGCGATCGTTCAATTGGTTTGGCTAGTTATAGCGAAAATTGAAGCTTTTTCTGAGGTAACGTCACTTGATGTTACTTGGTGACCTGACCTTGAATGATCCGGGTCTGAAATTCGTTTTTTGAGATATTCGCGAAAAACCTGATGGGGGGGGGGGGGGCATAAAAACACCCCCCCCCCCCAGCACGGCGCGGGTTATTAAGAAGTTTTATTCACTGATAGATCCACCGCGTGTTGAGACATCAGCTCAAAAACTAATTCAGCCCCAGGACAAATGCTATATAGTAAATAGGTATGTCATCGGCTAAAAAATGACCTGAAAGTCATGAAACTCAAAAAGTCAATAAAGGTCATGAATGGTCGATGGCCTTGACCTGACCTTAATGTGACGTTCACAAATCACAGCCACCTCAGTCCATGGTATAACAAGCGCTTCACATATTGACACTTTTAATGACAAAAAAGGCAGATAATTGGGTATAACATGGGTGCTGACACGCCAAATCACTGTTCTGGCCAGACATGGTATTGATATATCAATATATCAACCTGTGACTTTATAAACTCACAGGTCAAAGGCCATTTGAGTCAGGGCCATGACATTTCTGGAATATATTCATATTTATTAATAAGGGAAGGCGGGGGGGGGGGGACTGAAAGTTCCATCACAATCTGTGCTTTTTTACGCGAGCTATTCACGAAAATCGAGGTCTGTCACCATCATATCAATTTGTTTATTTTGTGAATATCAATCGACTGATTGATCACATGACCTTTCGGGTTGGGTCATGACCTCAACCTTGCGAAAAATTAAAGATGCTTCCCATGAAAGCACCTTTTATATAATTTAAACCGGCAGGCGGTGGGCCTACCGGCCACCTTCCGCGCGGTGGAGGGGGGGGGGGGCATTCCCCCCGTATCTCCGAAACTACTGGACGGATCCGTAAAATTCAAACGGCGTTCGATAGCCCTGTCAAATTTGTTGAAAGAAACCAAATTTCATTGACCTCGGGGTCACCGATGACGTCACAGTTCAGGCCAAAGATAAAATGTTTCACCGTTCACGGGTCTTCTAGGGAATACACTATAACACCGAGTAAAACGCATTTTGTCGAAAATCTGCGATAGGGCGTCAGTTGCCTAGTACGTATGATGCTATTAGAGGTCACTGCTAATACCAGGCCAGGTCACCAAAGGTCAGCACATGAACCAACGTTACTAAGGTTATGCGATGCATGTTTTGTGGCCAATTTTTCATTTCCAACCCAATGGTGTTGGTTATATGACCCACCAGGTACGGTTAAGGTCACTTTCTGATGGAGGTCAGGTCAGGGTCAGGCCAAAAAAGGTCAAATTTCAAAGTCGATAGTTTTGCATAAAATGGGTATTGATTCGATGCAGCCCGTCACGGGGAGTCTAATGGTGGTCTTTGTTTTGCGCTATGAGGTCTAGAATTGCTTAAGATTTAGTTTGAAAATTTGACGTCATCAATTTTGAACAGTTTTTGCGCTATAACTTGGACAAAAAAAGGTATCGATCTCAAATTGGTATGTGGATAGCAGGCGATAGGGACTATCACATATATTCCGTTTTTTTTCGAAATTCAAAAAAACTTTTTGGCTGTTCAAAAATCCGAGATAACAGATTTGTAGCCCGCTTATTTCTACCCTTCTATGTCTGAAACATTTTTCTGCATCTCTAAAGCTGTAGGTCTGATAGCTCTTCCAGCGAAACCTTTTTTGGGGGTCGAAAACGGCAGAAATGACGCCACTCAGACGTCATTACTCAGACGTCATTAGCGGCCAACTAATCATAGCCTTTGGGAAAATTTTGGTCACAATGTGTAATAGCTATTCACGGGAGGGTACTGAAAGTTTGGTGACGATCGGCGCAGCGGTTCTGGAGATATATCGAAAAAACTAAGGGGGGGCAAAAATGCCCCCCAGCGCCTGGAAGGTTAACGCTATTTGGATATAGAAACCGTGGAATGTTACCAAAATAAAATAAAATAAAATAAAATAAAATAAAATCAAATCAAATAAACGCACAAACGCATCAATGAATATTTCAAGAAAGCACCGTTTACGTGAAATGCGGATATCTCCGTTTTGACTTCTGGGAACAAATAGCGCTGGTGTAAAGTAGAACACTCCCGGCTTGTCACGAAAAGATAATAGATGAATCCTCTTCCAAATATAGTTTTGTTTCTTTACGAGCGATTATTTGTAAAAACAGACCCACAACCTACAACATATGACGTTCAATCGCTTACGATAACATTAACTTTAGAATTTGACCAGACTCAGAATTTGAATGTGTACTTTCTAAAAAGTTACTGAATGTAAAATGAAGTAGCTTCGTTATCATTTCTAACAACCTTTCTAACACCACTTGCCACATTTGACTGTTTTGTCGTGGAGCTGGGTTGAAAAAATTCTCGGAGCGCTGCTGGAAATTTTGCACGGAGTGCCAGTAGAGCACATTTTAATGGACAGCCTTCACTTCATAATATATATTTATTCGCATGCCGCGGGCACACACATGCCGTTCACTCAGCACAGGTCAGGATTGAACACGGTATAATCGACGTGCACTGCCATCCCGAGTCGGCAGCAATCGCCAGGACGGAGGCGAGACCACCCCGCCCCCGCCCCGCGCAACTTGGCCACATCCGACGAGTCCTTGACTGGGCGTCCTGCTAAAGCTCTGATGATCATGACGTTGGGCCGGCGACCCAAGCAGCGGCGGAAGCGATCGGCCGAGCACTCGCTCGCCCCGCCGTCTCCTTCCGCTAGTGATGATGATGCTAATAAATCTCTGAACGCGCTCTGATTGCGCCTGGACTCAAGCAAGAAGCCAATCAAAATAACGCCAGCAAACACGCACGCACGCGGGGTCACGGTCGAAACACCCGCTGGCCAGTTCCACTGCAATGGCTGCGCGCCCGCGTGCCTTCCACAGCACGCTGTCAAACGGTTCCTCCTCTGCGCGCGCAGTTCTGTGAGCGGTGTCGTCACCTCTGCAGCCGGTGCTCAGCGGCCGCCCTTACCGTTGGTACGTCCACGGCAGGGGCTGTCCACGGTGGGCAGACACAGCGCCACCGCGCAGCTGCCGCCACGTCCTGCACTATTTTCGCTTCGGGGCCTGCTTCGGAGGAGTGGCGTTCGCCATTCCAGCGTACTGGTACAGCGTCTTCTTTTCAGACGGCTTCAGAATCTGGCGGCAAAAAATAAAAAAATAAAATCGGTTGAAGGTACGATCGATACAATTCCACAATCTCATGCATTTCATTGAATGAATAAAGCAAGTGATTCTCAATCTACAATTCTCATTTGTGGGTCATTAATCGTAACAAATTATTTAGCCTAACTGTGCCAGAATAACATACAGCGCCCCGTTCGACTGCGTACCTGGAAGGAGCACATGAGCGTCTCGTCGACGGACATCATGCCGCCGGCGTTGTCGAACTCGCCGCAGTAGTTGGGCGCCGAGAAGAGCGTCACCAGCTGTCGCTTGGCGAAAAACTCGTACCCGTCCTCCACCACCTGATGGCACCGAGGGCGATAGGCACGACGGTAACATCACGTGGCAGCTAGGCGCCCTGAACAGATAACGCAAGCAAAAGTAATACACCGGGTTGGCATACCTATTGCATGCACCTTTAACGAGACATTTATCGATGAAAAGGGTGTGGCTAATGGATTGTGTACTATGAGCCTCATTTAACACCTTTCTATTAAACGATAGCCCAAACTGTATTGTATTTTTGGTGAAAACCATGTAGCGTGACCTAAAAGCATAGCCCATCCGAGCGATTTTGCCTTTAGTCCGGATGCGGCTGGACGGACCTGGTGGGCGCGACAGATGAGATCCAGGTCGTGTCGGTTCAGGAACTTGGAGACCACGTCTGCGCCGAAAGTGAAGGAGACGCCTCTGTCGTTTTCGCCCCAGCCCTGGACGTCCTTGTCGGGGTCTGACCACAGCAGGTCGCACAGTAGGCCTGTGGGAACAGACGAGGGGTAAGACTGAGAGCAGGCAAGGACGGGGTGGGTAAGGCTGGGCCATTGATGAGATATTGGGTTGGTGTCTTGACAGTTTTTGGCGACAATGAGCTCAGGCCTGCCACCTGGCTTTCAGCTAGCTTACAATTCTCTCGCTAGATGGCAGGCCTGATCCCAATGTCGCGGATCCCTGTGCTAATTTCCATCTCATCCATAGCTGGGCGATCTACAGCAGCTTTGTGGGTACAGGGACGGGATGGGTAGGGCTGAGCAGAGCAGCTGCACACACTTTGTCCAACGAAAGGGGAAAATGTTCACTCACTGATTTCATTCACTCAGTTCTCATTCCATTTCAATGATGACATCTCTTCTACGATGCAAAAACAATGAATCATAAAGGCTACATCGATTTATCAAACTTAGCAAAGTGACTAGGATATTTTAGCATCTTTCGGTACGATCTGTTGATAAATTGTCGGTGGCCCCTCCGACTGACCTGTGTCAGGCAGGTCAGTGGGCCGGTACCTACTATTTATTGGTAATTGTCGGTCGCCCATCCGACTGACCTGTGTCGGGTACGTCGGTGGGCCTCATAATGCGCCGGATCTGCTCCATGGTCTGCAGGTCGGGAGACAGGCCGCCGTGGCAGCAGAAGATCTTCTCGTCGATGATGGCCGCGATCGGCAGACAGTTGAAACAGTCGGTGAACGTCTTCCACAGCTTGATGTTGTATCGCCGCTTGCCTGGGTCGTGAGCGAACGGATCGTTAGCATACTGCCACATACAAATCAGAGGACTTAGCAGTCTGAATCTTAAACAGTTCCGCGCTGACATGCCCACCTCGTTTCAAACTGAATTACATATTATCCTAAAACCAACAAATGACATAACAAAGCACCAAACAGAGAAGTAATAAAAAGTCCTTTACATTCATCGTAGAAGCCGTATATTCTGTTGATGCTGGCGCACTCGTGGTTTCCGCGCAGAAGGAAGAAGTTCTCGGGGTATTTGATCTTGTAGGCCAGCAGGAGGCAGATGGTTTCTAGCGACTGCTTCCCTCGGTCGACGTAGTCTCCCAGGAAGAGGTAGTTGGCCTCCGGTGGGAAGCCGCCGTACTCAAACAGTCGCAGGAGGTCCGTGTACTGGCCGTGGATGTCGCCTGCGCGGGGAGGGCAGAGGTCAGAATAATTACAGCACCGGTAAGGGGAGGTTAAACTGGGACTGTAGCGGGTCCGTGTACTGGCCGTGGATGTCGCCTGCGCGGGGAGGGCAGAGGTCAGAATACTTATAGCACTGGTAAGGGGAGGTTAAACTGGGACTGTAGCGGGTCCGTGTACTGGCCGTGGATGTCGCCTACACGGAGAGGGGAGAGGTCAGAATAATTACAGCAGGAGGTCAGACTAGAACTGTAACGGGTCCGTGCACTGACTACGTACGTCACTTGAAAGAAGAGAAGAGATAGTCCGGAGCTGCACAAACGCAGCTGAAGTTTGTAGATGGTTGATGGTTTATCGTTGAAAGGCAAACAAGTAAAATTTTGAGAAGTTAAGACTTGGGTGAGTCTATTCATCACGCAATGAGATATCAATTTACAATTCTAGTAAAGCCATTTCCCATTTAACCCTATTAGTGGCAGGGGGGGGGGGGTTGTTTTTATCCACCCCTCAGGTTTTTCGGGAATATCTCCGAAACCGCTGAAGCTACGATGCTGAAATTTTCTGACTTTTCCTAAAACTAAATTGGGCACATTCCCTGAAAATTTCAAGTTCATAACTTTACCAGGGGCGGCTCCAGAGCACTGGGAATTGGGGGGTCCTATTCGTGAAGCGAGTCATTTGGGCGAAGATCACGATGCTGCACCAGTTTTACGAACAGTGAATGAAAGGTATCATGTGATAACATATACAGTTATTGTGCATCCTCTTTTGACACGTTTTTGCTATAATAGGCGGATCCAGGCGTCCAAAAAAGGGGGGTTATGTTTTACCTCCCAACATAGGTGCCCTGACACCGCCTATGCATGACCAATACAATTGTAGTCGTTCTCTCATAAGAAAATTGTAACATAACAAGACCATTACCACCCTTTTTAGAAACAGTACCAACAAAAACCTTATTTACTATACTTTTTGTGCACCCCCAATCTCAATGATCTGTATCCGCCTATGATTTTTGAAAATGCATATTTTTAGGATCCATGTGAATTCCTGGTTCATTCTCTATCGATCGGCAAAAGTTGCGTTAAGATTGGTTCAGAAACCTGGCCGTGATAAACAGTCTAAAATGTATCTGCAATTTGCCCGTTTTTACCCCCCTCTACCCCCCCTATTGACATTTTTTAATTTTTATTTTTTAGAAATGTAGATCACGTTGAGCGAAATCGAATGCCGTTTGAATTTTGAAAATCGGCCCGTTAGATCTCGAGATATCAAGGGGGGGTCGTAAACAGCCCCCCCCCCCCCTGCCACTAATAGGGGGTAGCCAGGAGCCTGCCACTAATAGGGTTAATGTTCTGTGGTGTACTTACCACATATCTTCAGCGGAGCTTCCAGCTCGAGAAGAATCGGCTGCTGAAGGAAGATTTCTCGGGACTTGAGACAGAGACCACGCACCTCCATCTCGGACATTTGGACAGACTTCCCGGGCCGACATCCTCTCACTGTAAACAGGCGGGACAGGGGCAGAGAGCGTCAGCTGACAGTGTCCCAAAATGTGCTGATTTGGGTGGGAAATGACATCCAACTAAAAACCAATTTGCACTGTAATTTGTAAATTTTAAGAGCAATTTTCCACTCCAATTTTTACCAAAAAAAGCATTTATATGAATGTTCGTTTTAAATCCTACATTTTATCACAATCGTATATACGTATATGCCGCTGATCCCTTTTCAACTCTTTTTGGTCCGTAGCTGACTGGCAATTTTCCACTCTTATTCCGGTTTTTAAAGTTTGTCCTCTGACGCCCAAGCCAAAATACAACTTAGGGACGCTGCCGGTCAGCATTTAACCCTCGCCCGGGCAGGGGGGGGGGTCGATGCGACCCCCCTAAGGTTTTCGAAAATAGCGTAAAAACGGCGGCGCAAATTTGGCACAGCCTATGGGGTAACCCTTTTACATATGACCTGAAAAGTCCGGGTGACCTTGAGTCAGGTCACCGGTACCAGTCAGAAAAACCGGTACAAGGTCATGGTCAAATTTCAATTTTCTTTTTGCACCTGTCCAACACACAGTTTTGGACTGATTTCCTTCAAACTTTCAGGATGTGCTAAATTCACCGAGTTGTATAACATATAGTTCGGGTTTTTTATGTCACTGACCTGAGGTCAGTTAGAGGTCATTACGTCATAACGTTAAGCCTATGGGAAATTACTATATTCGGAAAATACTGGAGATATCCACTTCGTTCTATCACTTTTGTGCTTTGAAACCACAGTATTTAACAGCAGGTCACTTGGTGCTTCTTTGTTTGGTGTACTTATCCATGGGTCAGGTCAAATGAGGTCAACTGAGGTCAAATGACGTTTTTGCCAATAAAATGGCACAAAATAACGCTAGAGCTTAAAAAATGGTGTCATTGTGTTCCTGGTGATCAGCCGAATCGAATGATATGCGATATTATGCAATTTGGTTAACTTGAACATCATGAATTAGGTAATTAAAGTTTACTTAAAAATTAAGAAAAACTTTAGTACACTTTAGCAAACAAAAAAGCATATCATTTGATGCGCCTTGACGTGCTGAGTTCACTGGTGCTTTTCTTTTTTCTCTAGCTTAATTAGATCAAAAGTTATAAGCAAAAAACTTTTGACCGGTTTTTAGCGAAATTTTTACATTTACACCCCCCGAAAACCCCCTAAATATTGACATAGAGCAACCAAATTTGCACAGGGGCGAGAAATCCAGGGGGCCCACCTACCTACCAAATTTGGTGTTTCTAGGTGCCATAGGAGCCAATCGCGAGGAGGGGTCGCATTGACCCACCCCAGGCCATGTTACGAAAAATGCCCTGCCAAGGCGAGGGTTAATTAGACAACTCATCCTGAATTCATTGGTGGGCATTTCGACTCACTAGCTTGTTACATGGAAAGCGCTTGACAAAAAAAAATCATAGTCCTAACGATGGGTGAATGAAAAGTTCTGAGCCTCCAGACATTGGCTACTACTACAGTCTACACCAGGAACTAGGAACTACAGTCTACAGTCTTTCCAGGTGGTCCAGGAAAGACGGTATGCAACAAGGAGGTCAAAGACGGTGAAGGAGCTGTTGAATGTGAAAAGTGTTCTGGATGGTACCACAGCAAATGCCAAGGCTTGTCAAAGGGTGCATTGTCTGCACTGAACAAGTGGCATGGCACACTGGTGTGGCTCTGCACAAACTGTACGAAATGGCTGCATGATAAAACGCAACCCATGGCATCAAACACAACCAAGGACGATCTTGCCCGAATTGATCAAAGAATGGATAAGCTAGAGAACATCATGCGGCACAACTCTGCAACAATCTTGGAGTCTGTGAGGAACCAGGAGAAAATGTTTGCAGTCCAGTGCAAGGTGTTGGACAAGATGGACGCTGTTACAACAGAAGACAAAGCGAAGCAGCAAACATATGCAGAGGCTCTAAAGGGGATAAGCACAGAAGTTGTGAAGGAAGTGACAGAGAAAATAAGCAAGCTGCCACAGGTGACAGTGCCAGTACAAAGGAACAGGGAAGAGATTGCGGGGGTTCTAGACGAGCTGCAGGACAAAGAAAGGCGCAAAATGAACGTCATTGTACATAACCTGCCTGAAACAGACACCACAGCCCAACCAGACAAGAAAAGTGATGAGGTGAAGTTTGTAAGCATGATAAAAGAGGGGATGAAGCTGGTCGTGAAATGTACAAACTCATTCCGCATCGGAAAGAAGACAGAGAACAAGCCTAGACTGCTGCTGGTGACCCTTGCCACCATGGAAGACAGAACAAACATCCTGAGGTCAGCAGCCACCCTAAGAACAACCGTGGAGTGGGGCAATGTGTACATCACCCCGGACCTGACCTGGCAAGAACGAGAGAAAGCACGCGCTCTGAGGCAAGAACTGGCCAGGAGAAAAGCATCTGGGGAGGAGCACATCCACATTAGACAAGGCAGGATTGTCCCAGTCCCAGTTGAAAGACGTCACTCCCGACCTGTGAGCACACATCTCCCAGCAAGCGGACCAGATGCAGGAGTCCCAAGGAATGGAACTGAGACCAGGCTGCCAACTAACACCGCTCAGCTGGCGGCATCCCAGACAAGAGCGGAACCTTCCACTGAGCCCATTGCGCCAGGCGCTGGGGCACCCAACCAGCATTGACTAGATAAGGAAGGAAGGCAGAGGTCAAGCAAACTCAAGGTCCTCTACACAAACATAGACCAATTTATGAACAAACGGGATGACCTCTGTATGGCCCTGGTAAACGATGAGCCAGACATAATCCTCTTGACAGAGATAATTCCAAAGGCACAGGTTCACCCCATTTCACCTGCAGTCCTTGCTATTCTGGGATATAATCTTTACTTGAACTTCGATCCAGGAAAGGAGAACCTTGGCAGCAGTGGGTACAGAGGGATTGGCATATTCGTCAAAACTTCTATCAGGACTACCAAGCGCTCTTTCCCAGGCTGCAATCAAATCGAGCATCTGTGGCTGGAGATCCCTCTGCGAAACCCAAATCGCCTCCTCATTGGATGTATTTACCGTAGCCCATCTGCCCACGGACCGTCTTCTACGTCTGAGTTACTGGAGCTCATCACTAGCTGCACATCTGAAAGAAACACCCAAGTGTTGATTGCTGGGGACATCAACTACCCCCAAATCGACTGGACTCACAGCTACTCCACTGCCCCTGAGGGCCATCATACACACCAATTTATGGAAGGGCTGCAAGACTGTGGCTTCACACAACATGTCACCAGGGACACACGATACAAGGAAGGCAACAGGTCTAGCGGATTGGACATTATCCTGAGTAACGAGGAGGGGCTAGTCAAAAACCTTGTCTACCACCCACCCATAGGACACAGCGACCATGTGGTACTGAGGTTTGAGACCGTGCACTATGACCAGGGAAGAGAACCAAGGGAGCCCCGGCTGAACCTCAACAAAGGGAACTATGCGCTCCTGAATGATCGGATCAGGGAGACTGTCTGGGAAGTGCCCGATCCTCCGGACCCGCGCACCAGATACGAGTACTTCAAAAGGACGTTGGATCTTCTGACGACTCAGTGTATCCCCAGGTCTTGCCCAACTAATAAGAGACGCAATATCTATATGGACAGGGAAGCTATGCGATTGAAAAAGCTGAAGCGGAAGTTGTGGATCCAGTACACCCAATCCATGGATGACATCTGCCTTGCACGTTACAAGCGATGTAGCAACGACCTGAGACGGCTCACCCGCAATCTAAGGAAGGAACTGGAGAGGAAGCTGGCGGCTGACCTGAAGGCAAACCCAAAGGCGTTCTGGCGGTACTCGGCCTCAAGAACCAAGAGCAGGGCCGGCGTTGAGAACCTCCGCACAGACTCGGGTCAGCTTACAGTAAACGACGAAGAGAAGACCGCGGTGCTGAACGCATTCTTCAGCTCGGTCTGCATCGAGGATGACCTTCGGCCGATGCCGCACGCCGGGGACGCGTACAGGGGACCAGTGGTAGAGGACGTTGACATCTCAGAGGACCTGGTAAAACAGAAGCTCGCCCAGATCAAGACCTCCTCAGCCGCTGGACCTGACAGCATTCATCCAAGGGTACTCCACGAGACGAGAGACTCAATATCAGCTCAACTAGCAGCCATGTACCGGGAGTCGCTCGATACAGGGATCCTTCCAGAGGACTGGACGTCGGCCAACGTGGTCCCCATTTACAAGAAGGGCAGCAAGGACGACCCCAGCAATTACCGACCAGTCAGCCTGACGCCAGTGCCCTGCAAGGTGCTGGAAGCCATCATCAGGGACAGGCTGATGGAGCACCTGCAGGCAGAGGGCCTGATTACTGAAGCCCAGCATGGATTCCGGCCGGGCAGGTCCTGCGTCACGCAACTGCTACTTTCAGCAGAGGACTGGAGCCGTGCTGCAGAACGTGGTGACCCCATGGACATCATTTATCTTGACCTGGCCAAGGCCTTCAACACTGTATCAATCCGCAGGCTTCTCCACAAGGTGGCTGCACATGGAATCCGTGGGAAGCTGCTACGATGGATAGAGGCCTTCCTGACGGGGCGAAAGCAGCGGGTTACGATCGGCAGTTCCTGCTCGGAATGGACCTCAGTCCCAAGTGGAGTCCCGCAAGGATCTGTGTTGGCACCTACATTGTTTGTCCTATATGTTAACGACCTGCCAAATGTCCTAAGCTGCGGTGTCAAGGTCTTTGCCGACGACAGCAAATTGTACCAGGTCGTCTGTGACCATGAGGACGCGCGGGCTCTCCAAGCGAACCTGGACGCTGTGACACAGTGGGGTGAGGATTGGCAACTGCAATTTAACGACACGAAGTGCAGGGTCCTCCACGTCGGTCGTCACGTCCACCTGCACGACTACCTTTTGAACGGTGAAGTCCTGCAGACGGCGACAGAGGAAAAGGACCTAGGAGTGATTGTTGACGCGGAGCTGAAGTTTAGGAGGCAAGCAGCGGCAGCGGTCAACAAGGCATCTCGAGTGATGGCCGTGATAAGACGGTCATTCAGCCTGCTGGACAAGATGACCCTGCCAATCCTGTTCAAGACGCTTGTGCGACCGCTCCTGGAGTACGGTAACATTGTCTGGGGGCCATTCAATCGAGCGGATCAGCTCCTCATCGAACGAGTCCAGCGCCGAGCGACCAAGCTGGTCCAGGAAGTACATCACCTACCGTACCAGGAAAGACTGAAGTCTATGAAGCTGCCTTCCCTCCACTACCGACGTCGACGCGGCGACATGATCGCTGTCTACAATGTGCTGCATGGGAGACTGGACCTGAATCCGGAGGAGCTCTTCAACCGAGTAACGACCAGAGATACAAGAGGACACTCCTGGCGTCTTGCGAAGCCCCATGCCGTCACCCGCATCCGTCGAAACGCGTTCGCAGTCAGAGTCATTAACGACTGGAACAGCCTACCATCATCCGTCGTAGACGCCGACTCTCTAAACTCGTTCAAGAACCGGCTTGACACTCACTGGAGACACCTCCACTTCACCCCGCCCCTACCCTACGAACAGTAACACTGTCAAACACGAACTCGACTGGAGCGGACACTACAGGCCCTGGGCCTCTCAAAATTTTCCGTGCATCTTAAGTAAGTAAGTAAGTAAGTACACATAATCCAAGCTGGCAACTGGCGAGAGAGGGCCACGCTAGACCCGGGAGGACCGTGCCGCCATCTACCTGGGGCACGTTTAACTTTCAATCCAAATCATCACCTGTGAACTGGGCGCGGGCAAGGTGGGGTGGTGGGTCCATGGTATCATTTGCAACAAGCAAGCACTGCTTAGAAGAGCACCTGGGCCCATAGCCACCCATTCATCCATTCGGACAAAATTTCTTAAAAAAAGCATTGTTTTCTACAAAAATGGCGCATCACTTATAAAACAAAAGATTCAATTTGATCAACCTATGCAAATTCGACATATTTTTACAGCAGACGATGAGTGAAAAGGTCTTACCTTCCAGAAGTCTCGATATGAGACTGTCGACGTTCAGCTCAAATTCTGGCTGAGACATCTCCCGCACCCGCGCTTATTGCAGAGGGAAAAGAAGGCTCTCTCTATCGTCTGGAGGTTTCGAAAGATGCTCTCCAGAGATGGCGCTAGTAAGTTTGGCTGACATGACGTCATGCTTAAAAGTGATGGGTTTTGTGACAGCAAATGTAATAATAGTTGAAAATTTTGTACTTTTGCTTAATTGAGAAAAAATAAATTTACAATTGCTCAAAACAGCGTTTTCCTCATTCATCCGTCATTGTTTTAAGAGGAATATAGACATTTTAAATCTTTTTTCTTGACCGCAATTCGCACACGCACTAAATTAAAAGCTGGAGTTTTGTGCGTTCGTAAATAGTGACTTGAGAAAATAAATTGACAATAATCTTTTGCACTTTTGCTTTACAATCTTTTTCAATGTAGATAAATGCATGAATTATTCGAAAATAGGCATATCTTTGAAATATTATGATTTTCCACAAGCAAATTTTTCCAAAAACTTGAACTACTTACAACTGACGAACGCATCCAATAATCTGGATGTCTTAGGACGAGTTCGTCATTTTTTCCCAAGGAAATACGATACAGTTTGAGCTACTTTACCGATACATTAGGGTACTTTTGCCAATGAATTAATAAATAAATGACAACAATTAATCTCATTATCAACCATACTCGGAAGAATTTTCTTCGCATAAGCGCGAACACATCCGCGCTTTCGTGAAAAGTAACGCCTGTAGATGTCAGGACTGCTGCTTTGTGTTTCGCAAGGTGGCGCAGCGCGCAGGGTACCGACCAGGGGGGTACGCTCCGGCCGTTTAGCATTACGAAAAATGGTGACAGACGTTTGTGGAGGATTGTCGACGAACTCTTGTTCCGCGAGCAGTACTTACACGCTAGCGGAAAATTCACCAATCAGCGCTCGGCAGTACTCGACGCTGATTGGTCCGACGCTCGTGACGAAATTGCGGGGGACCGCAGTTATTCTCTATGGACCCGAATAGGCTTTTGGATTTCGGAGGGGTTTCTTTAAAATTATATGCTGTTTGGAGCTGTTTTCGAGTTGAAATATATTTCTTATGACTGTTAGCTATATAATGACACCATAAAATCATGATTTTAATAAATATTACCGATGTAATATCGGCCGAAAAGACATGCTGTCATGGCACGGACTGCCCTGCGGCTGATGTGGGGCCCCTAGTGCCAGCGTATGGTAATAATGGGTTGACGAAGGGTTGTTGGAGAAACTTAGAGCCCCATCAGCATTCAGTATAGGGTCATTAGACGCCGGGAACGTCCATCAGGGGTCTGAGTAGGCCTGTCATAGGGGCATACATGACACATCATGGCCCATGGGTCAATGTAGATCCATTAGGGGCTGTTGAAGGGCCATCATTGTTCAGCGTGGGCTCGCAATTACCTCTGATGGGCATATGCCGTGCCCCGATGGACTATAACGCTGTTTGTTTGTTTGTTTTGTTGGGTTAGGCCCTTTCAGTCGACAAGACCATTGCAGAGCCGGAAGGATGGTAGGAATTAGGGGGAGACATTGGTCTGGGCAGGCACCCTAGTGAGTCGCCGGGGCTGAGCCCGTCCGAAGACAGGCCACCCAGCCCCAAGGCACTCACTGCACCCGGCTACGGGGTGCGCTCCCTCGGGAGCAGCGGCGCCGCTCCAAGGGAGCAGCCCGCATGAGATAAAGTTGCCTGTCCATCCCGGAGGAGGGTTGCGGCGTGGAGGAGAGGGAATTCAGTATCCTGAGGATAGAAGCATGGAAAGGTGTGACTATAACGCTGGCCCCTGATGAACCATCATCAGCCCCTGATAGGTCTACAAAGCCCCCTGCTGGGTCCAAATTGGTCACTGATATGCCCAAATGGGCCACTGAGAAACCCGTACAACATCCCCTGACTGCACCTGCTGGACCAGTGCCGTCCCCTCATGGGCCCACCGCAGCTCTTGAATGACCTTTTCAAGTCCCCTGAAGTGCCTTTATTGGCCTAAATGGCCCCTGATTGACTTATGTGGTCCCTATTGGTCCTATATGGTCCCCATGAGCCCTCAACGTCCCTAGACAGCCTTACATTATATGCCACTGGGCCCTGTTGGGTCACCACCGGCCCCTGATAGGCTTGCACTGGACCCACCGGGCCTATACCGACCCATGAAGGGCCTATGTCGAGCCCTCATGGACCTCCGATGACCACACGCAGGCATGTGTGGCCCCATCAGCAGTGATCCGTCTATCCCATGTACTTACGGCCTTTTTGGCCGATGTGACACCGGTAGTATATAGAAATGTTATAACTAAATGTCGTTATTACACAGTCAAAAGTCACAGAAAGAATATCCAAGTTCAAAAATGGCCTCAAACCCAACAAAAACTAGTATAAATCACCTTCAAAAGCCGTAAGTCTATTAAACGCCATAGGGGAATAGCTACAGTCCCCCGCAATTTCGTCACGAGCATCGGGCCAATCAGCGTCGAGTATTGCCGAACGCCGATTGGTCGATTTCCGCTAGCCTGAAATGCTGCTTGCGGATATAGTTTTGAACAAGTGAGGGTCGCGGCTACTAATTATCGCTTGTCACCACTTTTTCGTCGAGAACGTTCTACCTGGTTTATATAGCCTTGGTACCGACTACCGAGGCTGAGGTCTCCAGACTCTCCACCACGATTTAGCTTGGAAATGGCCAATGGGGAAGGTCTCACCCAAAAACGGACGCCCTTTTTTACAGCTGCATAACGAAAAGGAATTATTGGCATAGCTGACCATACGTCCGGGGTCCCCTCCCCCTCTCTGCCCCAGCTCAATTGGAAATATCGCCTATTTTCCTTAGTCATATTCTGACTAATTTCTCACTCTTCCCAGTAAACCTTAACATGCATGATGCAGATGTCCACTGCGTAAGTCGTGTGCTTGCGTAAGTGTGCCAACTATATAGTGCTGCCTACACTCTACAGTGCCTACTGCTTCCACCATTGTCGTTATACTTGGTGATTCTCAGGTCAAAAGTTACTCAGTGGTCTCAGAGAACAATCGTTTCAACAAATTAACGATTCAAACCGTTGCATTCTACTTATATTCCGGTCAGTTCTGCTACTAAACGATTCCGGCAAAACACTCTTTAGGTTATGTATTAGCGAACCACCACACAAAATTCGCCCAAGCAATGGTCAGTTATTACTGCTGGGCTGAACCGTCATACGCTATATAGCCTATTGCAGTCAATATTTTCAGAACGATACCGACTGACGAAACACAACGTATTCGCGGATTCGCACATACGTTGGCACCCAGGTGGCCTGTCAGCAGCCGCACAAATTGAGATGGTACACCGTAAAGCATGCCTTTCCACACAGGCACAAGCACAGGAACACAAATTTTCAAAATCCAAACTTATTCCAATACTGGTCAAATACTAATAGGCATAAAGTTTTGAGGTTTTCTCATGTTCATTCTTCTTTCAACACACGCGGCAGACTGCAGCAGAACATCTCACAGAGCTGCACTGGATGCAATCATGAGCTGGGACACGGTTTGTGACCAATGACCGATCGGGGGTGCCAGCCTCCTCCCGGCACGCGATGCACTGGCCGCCGCGCAGTCGATGTCGGCGTCGGGGCACCGCCGGCATTCGCCGACAGGGTTCCATCCGATTCGGTGTATTGGTGGCAGCCCGAACAGTGACCCACGCGAAGCTGGTGGACGTCGATGGCCGATGAGCGATGCCCTTCCGCGACCGGCGGTGGCAGTCGGTCCCACATCAAGAACAGATACCAGTCATGCGGTCAGTCGGCGACGGCGCGGTCGCGAGCCGATCTGATGGTCGCGCGGTGGGCGTTGCCGACGTCCACCGGGGCCGTCGACTGGGGGAGCGCGGCCGCCTCTTGGCCGCCGCCTCTGGTCGGCGCGCTCGTTGCGCTGTGGGACGGCATCCACTGCAAGTCGTTCACTGTGAAGCCGTCGTTTGACCGGGCCTGGCAGGCGGGGAAAGGGGGCCTCGGATGAAGGAAAACCATCCCTCAGGCCAGCTGCCTCTCCACCTCACCATGGCAGATAAGCGGACACCCTCGTGATCATCGAAGCGATGATTGCCAATTGGTGTGTCATTATGGGAGAGGATGCCAGCCTCCTTTGCAAGATAGTCTGCAGCCCGACCCATTGCCTGTGGCAGCAGACTGGGCTTGATAATGCGGTGCAGGACAAACCAAACGTAAGCGGCCATCTGTACCCCTGTGCAGTCTGGGCTGACTGACTCAAGAGCCCAGAGTTGCCCTCCCCCACCATTCTGTGCACGTGATAACTGGATGGGACATGCCATGGTCAGCATCTGTTCAAAAGCTGCCCTAAGCATGTGAAGCTCCACTGGCATGCTCCAGCACGGCCACAGTCAGTTCTCACTTGTCAGTTGAACCTCCAATGGAAACCAATCATAAAGTAGAGATCAGGGCGCCTCTCACACTGCAGCACACTCAATGACTGAGGCGCCAGCTCATCACTTGCAGGTGGTTCTTGCCAGGAGCAATGCCAGCCACTCACATCAGGTGATAACAGCAGTGTACAACTGCAATCTTTAAGCATCTATGCTCTTTCTGGTTTTCTCCTGTTGAGATCCACTGCCATGCATGAACTTGATGGGCTTTTGTTGTGCTCCTCCATGTGCAGACAGGTTTCTGCTGAAACAAAGTAAAGCAAATGTGATTAATAATGGCCCTGTTTCACCACCCAGACACTGTGTGCGCTGGCAGCTATGCTATGGTAGCTACGGCATACCATAGCGTCACTCATATGACATTGCATGTGATCTCTTTGTTTATGATGAATCGCACTTGGAACAGAGTGAGAGGTCCTGAAAAACCAAGTGCCTACCAAGAACAGAGGTTTGAGTTCAAATACTGCTAGCACGCTGCTGGCGCTGGCGCCACAGCGTGCTAGCATTCTGGGATGCTGTCATAGCTTAGCGTCAGAGTGAAGTTTGTTGACACTGCCATGGAAACCCAATGCTCCGAGACACGCAGCGCACTGCAGTGCTCTGCCGTGAAACACCACCCATGAACATTAATTGCATGACCAGGATCGAAGCAGTGTGGCAGAGTGCTTTTAATTTTAATTCCACTTTCTAGAGATTAACAAGTTGTTAGTGAAATTGCTATTCATTGTTCCTATTACCATTGTCTAAATTTCACATTTAAATTTCAAGACAGCATTGACATGTTATCTAAAAAAGGTTTAGACTTCAGGTGGTCCCGGATTCAGTTATTAAGAAGAACAAGGGCAAAAAAATGTCAAAAAAAATATCAAAAAATACCTGCCTTCATCAACACCTCATCTAATGATAAGCAAAAACCGTTTGAATAACAATGTAACATTTTGCAACCGCTGCACCATTACTGTCACGTACGCTATCCCTAGATTGGTTGCTGGTAAGCGAGTGGTTGTCGTCATCAACTCGTCATGCAGCAGCTGATTGGGATGGGCGGGGCCTATTTTTATCCAGACGTAGAGAGAGCCGAAAAGAAGGCGGAAACGCAAACACGGCAAGGTCATGCATAACATGTTCGTCAATATAGCAGCAGGTTGATATTGGCAATTCTGCTGCTTGCAATCAGACGTTCGCATTGAGCATTGACAACCTTAGCCAAGGCCCAAGACCTGAGCCAGGTCACCAGGTCACCTGACTGAGCCTGAAGTCACCATGCTTAGAACGTCAGACAAAATCGCATATATCTACGTTGAATCGACTGCTGTTTTTTGTCTGGATGGTCCAATGATCCCAGTTATTCATCACTTATAAAATGGCTGCCAAAGGCGAAAACACTCAGGTGACCTCTGGAGGCCACTGCGTTTGCCATTTTCAAAATCGCTGATTTGATCACATACTGTGAATCGATTGGTCGGCCTAGTAGTTACTGATATACAAAATTGCTGCAACAGGCAAACTTGTCAAGCTGACCTTTTTAGAGTACAGAGGTCATTTAATGTCTTTGTGTCCAAAACAACTTATATATTCATATATTTTTGAATCGAACAGTGGTAATTTTGACTCCGTCGGCTTGAAAGTTCCTGAATAAAAGGATGAATGCAATTGTGGCAGTTGAGTAGTGTACTGGTACAGGCGGTTCTGGCGCGACTGCTTCAAACATGGCTGGCAACGTTTTTGAGCGTTTTTCGCGTTTTTTGAGCGTTTTGAGCGTATTTATTTTATTCTCAACTGTTTTGATTTTGAGTTCGTTTGCTAGCTTCAGCTTGGGTGGTACGTAAGTAAGCTGAGAATTGGTATTCAATGCTTTATTCAATGCTTTATTCAATGCTTTATTAAATGCTCATCATTGAATGTTTTGAATTTCGAAGCATATCATTCATGGCATGTCAATGTTTCTTTAGTTTCAGATTGAGATAGGGGTTAGGTACGTTACCACCAATTTTGTATGAATGGTCAATGTATGATGGCTGGAACTTGAGCACATAAATTATGATTTTGGACCAACAAGTTAGCGTCATTGGGCACACTAAGTTCATGATCAGTTGTGGAAAATACGAGGCACCAAACTAAATTTGGATCAGCCAATCAACGGCTGGTGTGGGTGGAGCGAAGACCATATATGGTCATAAAGTCAGAAAACTTCATCTTTTCAATGCATCCTAGAAATCAAATAAAAAATAAGGCGTAAGAATGTTTTTTAACCACACACGGCCTACACTCACTCGCCACTCAGTGAACGATGCACTGGCGGCGATGCGATGCGATGCGATGGTTATCGGAGGTTTAGCCTTTGTATCGGCACCTCCTTGATTTCTTAAACTTTAACTTTTACTTTGATCGATGGGTTGCATTGTTATGGTTGGTTTGTGTGGCTAGGATCTAAATCGCAGAGTTACAATACAAGGTCAAACAGTGATTGGCAAAAATGGCGGATCGAATCAGACGTGCCAAAAAATGTAAGCAGCACCATGGTTTTAAAATGTCATTATTTGTAGGGATTAGGTAGGTATTTTCAATTTTGTATAGGTATGGTTTTTCCAGTTGTGGATAAATAATTATTTTAAATTTAAATATCTTTATTTATTGTAATGAAATTGAATCTTTTAACAATTTACTTTCAAAATACCGATCCATTTATGGAATGGCCAGCTGATTGTGCCTATGCCTTGTTAGGAATTATGCCTAACTATATTGATTGCCATCTGTTAGCTTGTATCTAGTTCTCGACTCCTCATTCTGATATCAACAAAGGCTGTGTATTTTGGCTCCTTGCTTTTATTGCCAGACATGTAGAATAACATGAAACAAATTTACAAGCAAACTACAATGTGATTGGCCAATACTAACTCAATTACTGGTGCTTCTATGCCTCCTTGAAACCATGTTGAGACCTTCTATTTAAAAGAATTGCAGAATAAATGTTAATTAAACCCTCCAAGGGGACTTCCCACATATCACTGACACTGATGACTGGACAGAGGTTGGGAAATGGGGCCAGCAATACTCAGAGGAAGGTCTGCACTCTTCAGTCCCACCTCTTGGGTAAACAGGCTAGTGTGAATGCAGCCTTAGACTAGAACAGCAGTCCCAGTCACTGGCTGTCAACAAGTCTCGCTGTTGCACCGTAGAGTGAGCTGGCTGAGCCGGCAAAGCAGTGCGACCTTGACAAACTCCACACAGGCGACGACCCGGTCCCGACCGACTCGTGTGCCAGAGGGCACCGCGGCTGCGACCCCACATCGATTAGGTACTGGTCACATGATCCATGGTCACCAATGAAAGGACGCGCCATGTGGTGTGGCCAAGCGCCCGCTGAGTAGGCGACATCCCAGCGCTGCTCGCATAAAAACATTATCTACCTACACTAGTATAATGATTGCTGAGCTCAACATAGAAATTAGAATGTGGATTGTTATATTAGAGCACCTGATAAAATGCATTCCTCTGGTTTTACAATTTACTTACCTATGAAATCTTGGATTAACAGCCTTATGTCTCATTTCAGCTACCTACTCTGCATGAAACTGTAAAAAGGGACCGAATTTGGCATAATTAATTTAGTACAGTTCCGGAAAACTGTCGACAATGGCGGACGATCCGGACGTCCCTAAGAAGAATGTCAGTTCCGATGGGTTTGTTATTCCGAGCGCGGCACCGATTCGGCCCCGTCCGGCTGGTAGCGCCAACAAGCAGCCCCCCAGCCCTGACCTGCCGCCGCCGCCACCGCCGGGCGGCTCCTCGGAGAAGACGGAGCCCTCAAAGCAGGTCGGTTCGGGCGATAAGGCAGGGCCGGCGGGCGGCCGGTCGGCGCCGCCGGCGGGCTCGGGGGTGCCGTACCGACCGCCGCGCTGGGCCGGCTGCCCGCCGCGGCCCTACTCCCTGGAGGTGCTGCGCGGCGGCCAGATCCTGGACACGGTGCCGCTGGAGGAGCGCGCCTGCGTGGTGTTCGGCCGCCTGCCCGAGTGCGACGTGCGGCTGGAGCACCCGTCCATCTCCCGGTACCACGCGGCGCTGGTCTACAGGTGAGCCAGGTGGCCGCCATCTCAGCGAACTCGTCATCTTTGCCCTCGCCGCTCACCGTGTACCTATATTCTTGTCGATTCATTGGAAATTTTTACAGGGATGGCATGTTTCCTGAACAATACCGCCCATCGTGGGCAGCATTTCTATATGCGACAATCGCCAGTCAAAGTAACTAATAACTATAGATATATGCGAACATGTACAGGCAGTACCACCTATTTCACCTTGGTCAATATCATGTTACAGAGCATCTGCAGATGACGAGCATGAGGCGGGGTACTACCTGTATGACCTGGACAGTACGCACGGTTCGACGCTCAACAAGAATCCCATCCGCCCCAACGTCTACTGCCGGATGCGTGTAGGCCACATGTGCAAATTTGGCGGCAGCACGCGGCTCTTCATTCTGCAGGTACGCACGTGAGAGGCGGCACGAAAGATTCATTGTGCGGCTGGGTGAGAGTCGACACTGGAAGACTGTGTACTGCTGTCATGGATGAGGGTCGGCACTCGGCCCTGGAAGGATTTTTTCCTGCGGCTATGGTTACTTAAGGTCGGCTTTGTTACAGAACTTTGTTCTGCATAGGTATGGTAAGGGCTGCACGGGAAGCATTTGTTTTGCCTTCATGGGCGAAGCACTGGGAGTTGGGACGTGTTTTTTTCTGCGGCGGGGAGAGGCTCGTCACTGGAAGGAGATCTACGGGTGGGCCGTGTGGGTCGTCAGTCAGTGCTGAGCTGTCCTGAACTCTTTGACTGGCTGCCTTTGACTGACGGTGACTGAGCTGTCCCGACTGACGGCGACTAAACTGTCCTGAGTGACTGAGCTATCCCTACTGACCCTTTCCGCAGGGTCCGGAGGAGGACCGGGAGCCGGAGTCGGATCTGACCGTGACGGAGCTCCGTGAGCTCGGCCAGCGCCGTCAGGAGCAGCAACAGGAGCGACTGGAGCAGCAGCAGGAGCGGCTGGAGCGTCTGGAGACGGAGGAGGGCCGGACAGAGGGCACGGAGGCCGACCGGGGACAGAGGGAGCAGCCGACTGCCGCCGAAACCACCGCAGAGGAGGGCATCTCCTGGGGCATGGGTGAGAGAAAGACGGGCTGTAGGACTGCGCCGGGTGGTAAATGGGGAACGGACGCCATGTGGAAAATAACTGATATTCTAATTAGAGCACTCTTGATGACTTCGATGACAAGAAACAGTACAACTAGTACTGCAAAAATATTTTCCTAGACCCCACTTGCTTTTTTCCTCCTCATGTACGCCTACTTTTTGCGTGACAAGCTGTCTAGGATGTAGTGTCCACGCACGATTATCTAGTTTAGCCTCCTTTTGCAATCACTAGCCTCATGTGTGCCACCTCAAGCCCGTCTGAGACACCTCCCCTCCCCCTGGCCGTCAGCCGTTTCTGAGACACACCCGACCCATGCCGCCCGCCAGCCGCCTAGAACGTCGCCTTTAACCTGTCTGTCCTCCCCCCCCCCCCGCTTATCGCCGACCGTTTCTGACTCCCCCCTCCCCCGCGCCGCTCTCTGCCAGCCGAGGACGCGGATGAAGAGTCGGACCTGCAGTTCAACCCGTTCGCGCTCGGAGAGGCCGAGAACGAGCAGCTCTACCTGGTGGACCCGAAGCGCACGCTTCGCGGCTGGTTCGAGCGCGAGGGCCACGAGCTCGAGTATCAAACCGAGGAGCTGCCCGGCGGCCGGCACATCTGCCGAATCACGTGAGCGGACTGTTGTATGCTTGACATGATAAATTAACAATAAACGTCGAGGAAGGGTTTCACTAAGGCATTGTGGACTTAACACGATTATCAGAGGGTCTGGTTGGTTCGCTCGAGTGGAATGTCAACGCTGCATAATATTATTACCCCGATGGTATGGCATTGTCTTGTCCCTCTCACGTCTCCAGCCTCACGTATAGCCGTGTCCCTCAGCTCCCGGTGGTATGACCGTGTCCCTCAGCTCCCGGTGGTATGACCGTGTCCCTCAGCCCCCGAATATGGTATGACCGCGCCCCTCCCTTTGTCTCCAGTCTCCCACTGGACACGGCCGACGGAAAGCCGCCGGTGGCCGAGGCGCAGCACGTCGGGAAGAAGAAGGAGGCGGTGTTCCAGTGCGCCCTGGAGGCGTGTCGCCTGCTCGACCGGGCCGGCGTACTGCGGCAGGCTAAACAGGGTACGGTGGCGGCCCCACCCCCGACTGTGTATTCCCAAAGTGTAGTACACGAGTATCCCGACCAATAGCGCGGCCTCTTGGGTGACGTCATAGTAGGCTCTTTTTGGTTATGAACTCCAACGATGCTTTTCCAAACCTTCTTATTTGCAACAGCGTGAAAGCATGATTTGTTTGCGCAATTTTGGTACACTCAGTTTAGTGTGATTTCATTCCAAACCTGTCTATTTTTATAAACGATGAAGAAGTAATTTTCACGGTTTATGATAAATTAATGAAAAAAAATGTTGGCAATCCCCTTATATCGTGTCTCATTCAGCAGTCGGCGAGTGCCCTCTAAACGCCATGACTCGGTAGCTTTTGCAACCCGTCCCCCGCCCTGACTGACCCGACTGACCCCCTTCCCCCGCCCCAGAGAGCCGACAGACGCGGCGGCGTCACCCCGTCCCCGAGCCCTAACCGATCCGTCTGTCCCTCCAGAGAGCCGCCAGACCCGGCGGCGGAAGCAGACCGGTTACGATTCGGACGACGACGATACGTTCCTGGACCGTACCGGCGCTGTGGAGCGCAAACGGCAGCGACGCCAGCAGACGACGGCCGCCGAGCAGCCGGCAGAGACCTACCAGAGCCTGGTGAGACACTCGGGGGAAGCGTCTGTCACGGGTTTCCCGGGTGGATGCCAATTCATGTGGACCATTCCTTATTCATACCAATTCATGCTCATCATAAAGTCGTCATGGGGAAGGACATTAACGATTTTTATTTGCTTGCTCAGAATTAGATTTCAAATTGGGCACTTGTTACTATTCTGCAATCCCAAACACAGCATGTGACGTGATCTGGATTTCTGATATCTAAGAGCAACCGTAAGCGCTTCCAATGTGTCCTTATGGACTACGCATCTTCAGCGAAATGTTTCGCCTGGTTCGTGAAGTTTTGATGCCACACTTCAAAACATGTTTGCTGTGAACGCATCCCTTTGTCGGTATGCTCTGATCCCGTGTGTTGCCTGTGTCTATGATGGCGTCCATCTGTCGTTACGCTCTGACCCTCCGTGTCCCGCCTGTGTGCCGCAGCTGGCCCAGTACCAGAAGGTGGAGGCGGAGGCCGCCGCGCTCGAGCGGCGCCTGCAGCAGGCCGAGACGGCCGCCCAGTCGCCTGCCGAGCCGGCCGCAGCTGACGGTGACGAGCTGGACGCGTTCATGACGCGGCTCAGTCGCGGCGCCATCGGTGACCGCCAGGAGCGACGCCAACTGCGCGCCCGTCTCAGCCAGCTGCGCTCCGAGCAGGCGCGCCTCGGCCGGCTGGTGAACCTGACGCGGCCGGCCGAGCTGCCGCCGCTCCAACTGCCGCCGCAGGCGGTCTCCGCCCGCTCGCCTCTCACCGGCTTCATCGGCAGGCGGAAGGGCAAGGGCCCGGCGACACCGGCGGCCGGCCGGCGGGCCGCGTCGCTCGCTGGCGGCCTGGGCCCGGTCCGCGCGCCGGCCGGCCCGCCGAGTGTGACGGACTCGCCCGCTGTGTCAGCGACCCCTGCCGACAGGGACGCCGGCGCCGGCCAGGAGTGTGACCCTGCCGGCGCCGCTCCCACCGGCGACTGCTCCCGGCTGTCGGAGGTCCAGACCGCGGGCAGTGAGGGTGATAAAGACTCTAAGGTGGAGACTGAACGCACCTCCCCTCCCCCGGCGGGGACCGACGACAGTCCTTCGGCCGGTCGCACCTCCCCTTCCCCAGCGGGGGCTGACGATGGCTCCGCGGTCGGCTGCGCTCCCCCTCCCCCAGCGGGGGCTAACGGCAGCCCTGCGATCGGTCCCAATCTCCCTCCTACAGCAGGGGCTAACGGCAGTCCCTCACCTCGCTCCAGTCCTCCGGAAGAGCCGACCAAGCCAGTCAGGCCGCCCAAGAAACGACGCCAGGACAGAAAGGTACGTATGGGAGGGCAGTCTCGCGTAGTGACCACCTCGGACACTGCTCGAGGCGGCATGGTACTGGCACAGTGGTGAGTCGTGACGTGAAAGATGAGCCGTTTAGCTTGCGCCGGTACTGTGATTGTGACTTTTTCGGATACGCCATTCTAGACAGTTTCCCCGTTCATCTGGATTTGGTTATTCTATCACACCTATTATTTACGCACATCTGTGCATCCTGACGTCACCGTCGTGCGATTTGCCGCTCACACCTAACTGTCCTCTGCCGCGTGTCGACAGGCAGCGGCTCCCCAGTACTCGGAGCTGGCCGGCGACGGCTCGTACGACGTGTGGATGCCGCCGGAGGGACAGACCGGGGACGGCCGGACCAGTCTCAACGACAAGCTCGGCTACTGAGAGCTGGATACGTGTCCGGCGACCCGGGACAGTGACTACTGACGATCTCTCATTGTCCAGCGCGTGCACCGCTTCAGTGAGCTCGTGTGGATGTCCGTTACGCTACTTCCATTTAACAGAGCGGTAGCAATATAATTATGTATTTTTCACAGTACTGCTTGTACATGTTTTTGACAATATATGGATACATGGTGCGCGCGCGGCCACCTGCCCTGCCCTGCCCGCAGCCCTGTGGCGCCGGCAGGGACCGGGCGGTCGCCAGGCGCAGGGGCCGGCCGGGAGAACAATCCGAGCGCGAGACGCTCGCCGCGCGGGGAGCCCTGGCGGAGCGGTCGAAGGGAGACTGCCGGGACGGCGTCCCGCAGCGGCCCTTACCTAACGGGTCCACCCCAGCCACACTGCACACGCCGGGGCGACTGAGCCTAACGGGACCGGAGCGCTGCAGTTATGCATTATCGACGATCACTCACAGTTTACAATCACACTGGTGCTCGGCTATTGGCAAATCGAGGCGGCCTTTTAGGTAGCTCAGGTTCTCAAGACGACTCATAACTTCTCGTTTAATTTCGAAAAGTGTGAAAATCGTGACAAATGACTCAAGCCTCACCAAGGAGTTAATAAGTACCATATTCCTGAAACTTACGTATCGCTCTGAATAATCGTATCGTCAGTGTCTGTTCTAGAAAAGTTGCCAGTTTATACCAATTAAATAACTCCTGCCAGATTCGTTTACGATTGTCACCGTTGCCTGATAAATGATATCGTTGTATCTTGGACTTCTGTCGAAACAAAGCTACGCCGTTTTCTGTCATTGAGGCCCACGCAAACGTGTTGAAATCTTTGCCGTTTCGTTGGAAACATAACAAGCCCAGCAGCGCACCCATCGGGCCGGATGTAACCTCTGAGAAGCCGCCACAGCTGCACCCCTGGTTAGGCCAGCATCATATAGCCATAAGCGCATCACAATATCACCCGCTCCGCGCGCGGCCGGGCGGCAGCCGACCGCTGTCGACGATCGACTAGGAGGTGCGGCAGTCGCCCGGAGTCGGGCCATCGTCTGCATCGTCACTCTCGTCCGAGGACTGCAGGTCGAGTTCGTTACTGAACAACTGGGGGTAGAACAGGGGAGGGGCCGTCACAGAACAGCAACAGACAGCTCGTTACTGAACCCTTGAATCTAGTGGCTGTTTTTACACATTTGCTCTACTCAGGGGCGGATCCAGAAAATCTCCAAGGAAGGGGCCATTAGAAACCAGGAGGCCCCCATAATCCCACCTGTTGGAGGCCCCATCTTCCCACTTGTTGGCCCCCCCCCCCAAAAAAAAAAACTGCGTCTATTGAGCTTATCTAGCTGTTCAGGCAACATCTCAACATGAATAGCCACTTTATTTTCAGGAGGCCCCCTTTTCAGCTTTTTAACTTTTTATTTTATTTTTGAAAAAAATCGGCCAAGGGGGGGGGCCATGGCCCCCATGGCCCCCCCCTTGTATCCGCGCCTGGCTCTACTAACTAGTATGACGTTATGGGCGCAAAATGACCCCAGCAGTCGGCGCGCCCTAAAGCTCCAATAAACAAACAACAAGAACAACTGCGGGCAGAACAGGGGAGGGGCCGTCACAAAACAGCTGCGACTGCAGGTCGAGCTCGTTACTGAACAACTGCGGGCAGATTGAACAGGGGAATGGCCGTCACAAAACAGCTGCGACTGCAGGTCGAGCTCGTTACTGAACAACTGCGGGCAGATTGAACAGGGGGGGGGGGGGGGGGAGTGGAGGTCGGTCACTCTACCGCTGCAGGCAGAGGAAAAGGTGCCCAGGCGACCATCAACTGCGAACAGAGGAGGCCGGACTGTCGAACGGTCGGTCACCGGCTCCTTTCGGATAGCTCCGACCCTCATCCTCTCACTGTTCCCTCGCTCTACCCTGTGCCGCTACTCACCTGGTGTCTGGCCCGCCGCTGCGCTCCGAATACCTGCTGCATCAGCGTCCACATCAGACTGCCGCCCAGAGAGTCGGCCGACGGCGTCTCCTCGACGCGCTCCTGTAGGTTTCTCTGCACCGTCTGACGGCGGAGGAGGAAGAGGTCTGGTCAGCGGGGCGTGTCTGATGTCCGCTGACGGCGAGACCAGGCCGGTCACGTCAAACTGAGAGCTGACGGGCCCCTCAGGCCTCAACACAGTAGGAGGACCGACAGGGCGAGCTAGCATGGCAGGAAAATAGCTCAACAGCAAAGGTTAGTGCTACTCCCATTGTATCAATCATAGGAGCTTGTCTTACGACAGGGCCTGGGCCCGGTCTGCAACCATGGCACGAAGTGCTGGGGTAGCCTTATCTCCTGCACCCGCGACAGATTCTGGCTTTACCTCCGGCACCTATCACAGGTTCTGGGGCTGGTCTTCCCTCCTGCTCACCCACGACAGGGCCTCAGGCCTTACCTCCTGCACCCATGATAGGTCCTGCGGCTGGTCTCTGGAGGCGATCCACAGTTTGACGTCGTCGTCCAGGCCACTGGTGGCCAACACCGGCATGTGTGGGTGGGGCTCCAGACAGTTAACCTGGGAACAGGCATCAGTAATACTGCGGCTAAAAAGATGTCAGGACTAGCATAAATAAGAGCCAAGCACATAATCTCAGGTCTTCATTTCGTCCGCTCGTTCAACAACAACATTCAAACTACAAAAGATCGCCCGCTGTTCCTCCTGCCGTCCAGCGTCGCAGGCACAAACTCACCACGCCTTTCTCGTCGCCGGGCATGCACTGGACAATCGCCTCTGTGTTCTTGTCCCAGAAGAAGATGTTGCCGCAATCCGAGCCCGAGACGATGTACTCGCTCCTCGGGCCGTAAAAGTTCACACCCTTGACTACCGGCGCAAACGGGGAGCAGTGCAGTGTTGTGGGGACTACAGACGCTATGGCTAAAGCAAAATGTCTTGAGAAAATAAACGGATCTCACAAGACGCCCAACAGTCGGCACAGGAGTTCACGATTCCTGCATAGAAAAGACCACAATTATATCACGGTACACAGAACCCACCGACAGACCGCCAGCACGATGTGTCCCTTCTAGCTCCGACTGCCAACATCGGGAGTCCCTCGTCCGCCGCGCTCGAGCCCCTGCTCTACCGTGGCACTACCGGTCCCCGATGTGCCCCGCCGACCGTCCCCCTCCCTGTCCCAGAGATGTCTCGCCGACCGACTGTCCCCCTCCCTGTCCCAGAGATGGCTCACCGCCCGACCGTCCCCCTCTCTGTCCCAGAGATGTCTCGCCGACCGACCGTCCCCCTCCCTGTCCCAGAGATGTCTCGCCGACCGACTGTCCCCCTCGCTGTCCTAGAGATGTCTCGCCGACCGCCCGTCCCTCTCCCCGTCCCCGAGTTGCCACTCCCACTGACCGTTCCCCTCCCCGTCCCAGAGGTACGCCCCCGTCCCGACTCACTGGTGGCGCTATTACGGTGGCCCGAGTACTGGTGCACACAGTCGGCGCCGTCCGAGTGCGCCGCGTCAAACAGGTACACATCGTCGTCGTTGTAGGAGGCGACGATCTCGGCGCCGTTGTAGCTGAACACGGCGCATGTGACGCTGTAGCGGCCCCGTCCATCATCCAGCTGACCGCAGGAGGTGAGGTCACCGGTCAGACAGACAGCGAAGATCAGTTAGACCCAGACAGAGCGAAGGGAAAGAGGGGGCAGAGGCGGGTGAATGTCTCACCAGTCTGTGGGGGAAGAGGCGACCACATGTCTCACCAGTCTGTAGTTTTCACCAGTCTGTGGTTATCTCTCACCAGTCTATGGGGGGCAGAGGCGGCAGTGTCTCTCGCCAGTCTGTGAGGACAGATGCGGCGTCACGTCTCACCAGTCTGTGAATATCTCTCACCAGTCTGTGGGGGAAGAGGCGGCGGTATGTCTGTGGTGACAGAGGCGGGTGAGTGTCTCACCAGTCTGTTGTTATATCTCACTAGTCTGTGGTTGGTTAAATCTCACCAGTCTGTGGGGGCAGAGGCGGCGGTAGGCCGACTGCTCGCTGCCGATCATCCGACGGTCGTACACGCGCACGTATTTGTCGATGCAGGCCAGCAGAAACACGTTGTCGTTGTCCGGGTGGCAGGCGATCGAGTTGGTCGGGATCCTCTTGCCGTTATCCATGCATTCCAAAAGCCTGCCGGAAGACATTAGACTATTGAGGGAAGACACTGTAAAATATTTGATGTACTTACGTATGTACCACAAAAGAAAGGTATGTACTATTTTTAATTTTTACAAATGATTTAGTGTCATACCTGGAAATGGAGGGCTCCAAAATGGTGATGTATGCGGATGATGTGCAACTTTTACATCAGAGTAAGCCCAGTGACCTGTCGGGACTCAAAGTGAGCGTCGAACGCACCGTAGCCACCGTGCACAGCTGGTTTAGTGAAAACAGTTTAAAAATTAACCCTAACAAAACCGACCTCGTACTAATTAAGTCAACTAAGCGGCAGTCATCCTCCGAGTTTTCTGTGCAATTCGGCGATGTTTCGATTAGACCTTCCCCGGCGGTGAAAGTGTTGGGGATGGATGTTGACGGAGGATTAACGTTTGAGAAGCATGTTTCTAGTATAGTTAGACGGTGTTATGCCACTCTTGGTGGACTATCAAAAATGGCTGGCAAATTGCCAGAACCTGTGAAGAAAATGATTGTTGAATCACTTATTTTTCCGCATCTCAGTTATTGCTCTTCTGTGTGGGCCGGCTGCAATGCTACCCAACGGCATCGCTTACAAAAAGTGTTGAACCATTGTGCACAGGTGGTGAAGGGGGCAAAACGGCGAGACCATGTCACGCCGTTATTAGCTGAGCTAAAATGGACGTCACTTGACAACCTTGTAGCCGAGCGCGACGTTTCCCAGATGCACTATTTGCTAAATAACGAACAGGCGCCCGGCAGCCTGACCGCGTGCGTTGTACACCGCAGTGATGTAGCCACTAGGGACACCAGAGCCTCTCTGGCTGGTCTTCTGCAGATTCCCAGGGCGCGCAGTGAGCATGCACGAAGGTCCTTCTTTTATCGTTCGCCCGCTCTGTGGAACCGGGCGCCGGCTGAAGTGAGAGAGGCGCGCTCTGCGACGGCGTGTCGCAGAAGGGCGAGGAAATGGCTCGCCATGTCCTCGCCATAGCGGATAGCCGAGTAGGACACCGGACATCGGATTTTACCAATCTTTTAGTGTATCTATGTCTTTATCGCATGTTTACATCTTAACCTGTATTGTGTGTATGTACTATTTGACTCTTGTTCTGAAAAGCCATGAATGTGGATGAACATATGAATACATGATGATGATGATGATGATGTACCACAGGTATCATTCTCTTTTGAATTTGAAAAAAAAAAACATTGTGCTTATAACATTACGCAAGTACTGCAACCTTCTTCAAATTTAGGGAGCAAATCGTGTCCCCATTTATCTCCAAACATAAAACACTTATATGAAATGAGCGCAGACTTTTCACTCAGACCGAACAGTACGTGGACAGTTTCGGTCGGTAGTGAGAGCGACTTACCTGAGTACTTGACTGACCGACCTGACCATTTGTCCGCAGTGACTCACCTGTCGGGCTGGCGGTTGGTAGCGACTCACCTGTCTGCAGGGACTCACGACTCCGGCTGTCGGTCTGTAGCGACTCACCTGTCCGCCGTCCGGCTGTCCGCACTCCGCAGTGACTCACCTGTCTGGGTGTCTGTAGCGACTCACCTAGCTCACTGTCTGTCCGCAGCGACTCACCTGTCCGGCTGGCGGTCGCGCAGGTCGATGTTGAACACCACAGCGTCCTCGCCACACGAGAGTACTGTCTGCGGCGAGTGGGCCGGCAGCGCCAGCTTGCGGCCGGAGCCGCGGTGCTGCGCCAGCCGGCGTACCGAGCGACACTCGCCGGCCGGAGAGATCTCGGCCAGCCGCACCTGGCCGTCCCGGCTGGTCGAAACGATGTGCGTGTCACTGCGCTGCGGCACAAACTTGGACTCGAAGATGTTGCTCTTGTGTCCCGAGTTGTACGAATAGGCCTTGCGCTGTCGCTGCCAGTCCCACACGACCACGTTGAGGTCGTCCGAGCCGCTGGCCAGCAGGTCGCCCGAGCTGTTGAAGTGGAGGCAGTTGACGCAGCCCTCGTGGAAGCAGAGCTTGTCCATGAGCTCCAGCCGCTCCACGGCGTGCAGGGAGCTGCACAGGTGGAGCCGGAACCTGTCCTGCTGCAGCAGCGCCGGCCGGCCGCCCAGCTGCCGCTTGTGCAGCTCCCTCACCAGCGACCAGGTGTGGCGCGGCCTCGGCTTCTGCATCACATCCTCAGCCTTCTTCTTCATGTCGGCCAGCGCGGCCGACAGCGCCGCCTCGTCGTACTCCATCTCAGAGTCGGAGTCGGGCGACGAGCTCGACAGTCGGGCCTCGTATCCCAGACCAATGTCGTCGTCGTCGTCGTCGTTCGACGCTGTCTCGCCGTCGCCGACGGGTGGAGTGCTCTCACGGGCGCCCTCCGAGCCGGCAGCTTCCATGGGCTCTGAGGGACTGCCGTCAGCCGGCGGCGAGGTCGGCGGCTCGTCTGCCTCCGCGCGCGGCGAGTCCGCGTCACCGGGCGCCGCGGGCTCGCCGGACCCGCGGCGTGCCCGCGTGGCGTCACCCGAGTCCCGGTCCGAGCCAGCCTCTGACCGGGCCGGCTCCGGGGTGGCCGCCGCGCCGCCCGAGTCCCCGGCCGGTGTGTCCGACATCACAGCACGCTCTTCAGTGGTCTCTTTAGATGCATTGCTGGACATCTTGTGAGCAGTGAACACATGCAGCTTCAGAGTAAATTAAATATGCAATATAATTGTGTTTGATATTGTGGATCTTCTTGACACGACACTGTCTTGCACAGGAATATCGTAAGGAGCCTAAACATCAGCTTTAAAATGAAGAGACCTAGCAGTAGCACTTAATAGAATCAAAGGCAACCCTGAATATAAAACCCTAGAGCCCTAGAAATGTATAAAACATTAATGGCAAGCATGCCATGCGAACTGGAGAGTTAGAGAGTACAGTAATTTTGTTTTACATTTATTTATATATTATTATAATGCAAGGCGATGCACCTCGGCCACCGGAACCCGGAACACGCGTACTATTTGAACGGCATCCTGATCCAGAACGCTGAAGAGGAGAAAGACCTCGGCATCGAAATCGACAACCAACTCAGTTTTCACAAGCAGACCGCGTCAGCCGTCGCTAAAGCCTCACAGATTCTGGCCGTCGTGAGACGCTCATTCGCCAACATTGACGAACACACGCTGCCGCTTCTCTACAAGACCATGGTTCGGCCCCTCCTAGAATATGGGAACACAATCTGGGGACCTTTTGGGAAAGAGGACCAGAAGAGGCTTGAACGCGTGCAACGTCGTGCAACAAGAATGGTCGCACAAATCAAGCACCTCCCGTACCCTGAACGACTCCGTCGACTGGGACTACCATCACTCTACTACCGGAGGCGCAGAGGCGACATGGTGACCGTATATCAGCTGCTGCACGGAGGGTTGGCCATATCGCCAGAAAGCTTCTTGACCCGGAGCAACTCAGCTCGAACCAAGGGCCACGAGTGGAAGCTCGAGAAACCGAGGGCCACCAAACTCGTGCGCAGAAACGCGTTCAGCTTCAGGGTCATCAACGACTGGAACTCCCTACCATGTGCGGTGGTCACGGCACAGTCCGTCAACCAGTTCAAGGCCCAGCTGGACAAGCACTGGGGTGGCATCATGTACGACACCCCCTATCCCTGAGAGCCTAGCCTGTATCCCGACACGAGCTCGATGAGAGCGGGATCCCCAGGCCAAGTGGCCTTTTCAATCCCGATCACCACGAAGGTAAGGTAAGGAAGGTAAGGTAAAGGATTAAGCCCCTTCAGTTTAATAAGACAATTGCCAGACAGGAAGGATAGTATGAATATGGAGAGATTTTGGTTTCAGCTTGAGCTGCTGCGCTGGCATGCCGCCAGGGCTGCTTGCCGCAGTGAACGGACCACCCACCAGTTCAGTAAACTGTCACACCACAATGGTTTTTTCAGAGGCAAAAGATGGGAGTGTAGCCTACAACCCCCATGCATCAGATTAAATGGACTCTCCCAGCTCCCACCTTCAAAAAAGTTAATGAATTGGTGTTTAAGTAGGCTACCATGGTTCAGAAAAAGCAAAAATGGATATCTACTGAAGCATTGCAACCACTGGATGGAGCCAACCACACAAAAAGAAGAAGGCAGATACATCCTTGCCAGAAAATGTGAAATGTTGCTTATGCGACAAACTTTGACATACAGCATACATAACAGTGTTGTGTTCCTTAGTTTTTATATTACCAGCAGCACCATACTTCCCCATTTTTAAGACATAAAGCATTATCAATTGAATTTAAAAGGCCCAATGCCCAAAAGGTCAAAAAGGTCATGACAGTTCAAGTTGAACCGCAAAACAAAACCTCTGTGAGTGTGGCCACTGATCAACCTGACAACAGGCAACTGCGCCAGAGGCCATACAGCAGGCTGCACATTAACTTGGACTACAACTGATACCGATAAGAAACGTATACCACATTGATTATATAAGAATGAAAAAGTTGATCGGGAGGATGGCAGCCAGACCAGAAGCTAATACGTGCAAACGGTATCGGTAATAATTTTACATAAATATACGACATCCACCACCTATCCCTCTGCGCCCCAGTTGTCACTATTGCGTCATAATAAGGACCATTCTCAAGGTTCTTGAAATGGAAACGCTATTCGACAGCTATTCTTTTAGGCACCCTTTTTCTCAAGAGTGACTGAGCTCAGCAGTAAGCAACACAAAATTAGCACTATTCGAATCTAAATATTTAATTGTATTACCTGTTTTGAATATTGGGATCCCAAATGACCTCAGTGACATCAAGAGGCACCATTCGAATCAAGTCATACGATTAATCAGCTGTTTCGAATATGGTGTCCTAGCAGGGCTGCGGAGTCAGAGTCGGAGTCGGAGTTGGAGTCGGTCGGAGTCGACAGTTCTGCCCGGAGTCGGAGTAGGAGTCGGAGTCGCCAAAATATTACCGACTCCGACTCCGGAGTCGGAGTTAACGCTGCATGGCTCAACGTCAATTTGATTTGACGTCGAGCACCTCTTTGATTGACGATACTGCGCTAGAAATTAGATTTTGTCGAAAAAAGGCCATTTTGTCGTTTTGGACGAACGTTTTCAGCGAAAGAAGCAGAAGACGGTGAAGTCCTAAGAGCCTGCTTCTTAATTCTGCACGCTATTTATGCATAATTGCAACGCATAGCCTTGGAACCTTGGTTTATATAGCCTTGCTTGGAACGCACAAGGGATGGTTTCAGGCAAGATAAAAGCATCTCCGTTATGAGCTTCAATATCATGATATGGATTTTAATAGAACCGTCCGGAGTCGGAGTCGGAGTTGGAGTCGGAGTCGGAGTCGATTTTTGAAGCCGGAGTCGGAGTCGGAGTCGGAGTCACCCTAAAATCCATCTCCGCAGCCCATAGAGCCTATTTTAAGGGAATTTCACTGGGGGGGGGGCAACCTGGAAAATTGTCTATAATAATCCGTATTGGTGTTTTCCAGCCGCGAACGTATATGGGGGAGGGGGGCCGTTTCGCCCCTGATCGAGCTAGAGCTTCGCGGAGAAAACGACCGTGCTGCCCGTGATGAAAGGAAGCCGATGATACCCAATTTTAAGGTCCTAGGTCATCGGTTGACCTTCCAGGTCAGGTCAATGACCCAAAAGTCGGGAAAATCGGGACCTGTTAGAGCGTCGTAAATGGTGGCTGCCAATTTAACTCAGGAACCACTGGGACCATCCGGACAAATGAAACACCACTCGAATCAGGGGATGCAATTTAATCAGCCGTTTTGAATATGGTGACCTCATGTGACCTCGGTGACCTCCAAAGGTCAACTTGACGTTTCGCCTATTGCAGCCATTCTCAGGAACTCAGGAACTACGTAGCCAATCGAGCTGACGACACAATCAGTCGAAACACTACTGGGCCATATTTAGCAAGGCCATAATATTTAGTCACCGTGTTGGAAGCGGCTGTGACTAAACGGCAAATCGACTAGCGGTATTTTTTCCCGAGTTACTCAGCCATCCGGGTTCGATTCCCGGGCAATGCACGTGGCATTGTCGCTGCCTGACCGCTTGGAACAGCGTGAGAGTTCCGGTGAGCACCTTGGTCCACCGGATATGAGATATGGTGCAAACCAACCAACCAACCGTCTCGAGTCAGGCCGTCAGGCGAGTCAGGCAGGGTGCCCGGACGCAGACTTGTGATCAGCTCAGTTGAGCCGGCTCAAAAATCAGCTCAGCTCATGAGCCGGCTCAACATTTTGCCAAGTTGTTGAGCTGTGAGCTGAGCCGGCTCAGTAATGCATTGAGCTGAGCTGCTGTCTGAGCTGAGCTGAATGAGCTTGAGCTGAGCTGAGCTGAATGAGCTTGAGCTGAGCTGAGCTGAGCTGATTGAGCTGAGCTGAGCTGATTGAGCTGAGCTGAGCTGAGCTGAGCTGAGCTGATTGAGCTAAGCTGAGCTGAGCGAGCTGAACTGAGCTGAGCTGATTGAGCTGAGCTGAGCTGAGCGAGCTGAGCTGAGCTGATTGAGCTGAGCTGAGCTGAGCGAGCTGAGCTGAGCTGAGCTGAGCGAGCTGAGCTGAGCTGATTGAGCTGAGCTGATTTAGCTGAGCTGAGCTGATCCAGTTCTAATTCTTTTCAGTTCATGCTTGGAAATTAACTCAGGCTTTGATGCTTCAGCTATGAGCTAGCTATGGAGTGAGCAATTACACTGCCTTCGTGATCGCACTTAAAAATATCAAAACTCTAAAGAAATCAATAGTAATCACTAATCAAGCTTAATTTCTTTCACCCATATTGCAGGGAAATTGGAAGACCAGGGTCTTGGCCAATTTACAGGCTAATAGGTACAGCCAGTCTCAAGTTTCAAGTCTGACTGCAAAATGAATACCTACCTATTGTCAGGCTTTGATGCTTCGCCTTGACACTCTGCTGCTCCGTACAATTCAGCATTCTTCACTTTGTTATTTAAGCAGTTATTTAAATTAATTTTATAAGGGTTCTTACCTCTGCATAAAATATTTACAATTAGGAATTAGCAAATAAAGTTCCTCTTCGTCGGTTGAATGTGGGCTAAGCAGCCATATCCTATTGAAAGTGGGGTGGGGTAGAGGCGCTAACTGGAACTCTCACCTTCTGATGTAAAAGCTCCCTTATTCACACGCCGACTATGAATTCTAATAGTGTTGACATTGCCCTGGTTGAGATATGGGTGGTGTTATAGGTTTCACTGATAACAGCACGCTGCTATCACACGTGTCAAGTGCACTGGCGGTCGCAGCCGCTAGCAAAAGGGGGGGCCAAAGTCACATTCGCGGGACATAGCATTTATCCGTCACCGGGAGGGGGGGGGGGGGTGATCGGCTAATTTTTTACGTCCACGAGGTGCCGCGCAGTTGGCATTACTTATGCTTCATCCATCTGATTCTTGCGTGAAATCTTTAAGCTCAATTTAAGGCAAAATCACCAGTTCCATTTCCCGTCCCACGGTGCTTCCACCGGTCGGCGCACTGCACCATGACGACGGATCGGTGTAGCATAGGTATACTGGAAGGTCAGGCACGCGGATTCATGACCTTACCACTATAAAACAATTTGGAAAAGTACAGATACCTCTTGCGTTGAACAAGCATGTGAAACCCAGAGAGCATTTTCAGACTATGACATTTACCCATATAGTTGTGTGGCGGCGGGAGAGAGTAGGTACACCGACCTCTGGAGACCAAAGGTTCCTGGCTTTCAAAATTGGCATCTGAGGGCCGCGCGCGACTTAGGACACCAGAGACAGAAATAAGGCCACCAGAGACCGTTGTGAGACGCTCAGACGCCGGTTGGGGCCCCTGAGGCCGGTTAGGGGCCCTCATAGGCCAGATGTGGGGCTTAAGAGGTCGATGTGGGCTCTTAGCGGCCAACGTGGGCGCTTGACCGCCACTGAAGTTCCCTCAGAGGTCAGTGTAGGACGCTCAAAGACCGGTGTGGGAGCTATATTAATAGCTGGGCGTGGGTTTTTTGAGCCTCGTGACGATCGAATAATTGCCAGGGCCCCATACACCTATATGGGGGCCTATTGGTTGTTTGAGGGGGGGGGGGCAAATGATATGATGGCCCCCTTTATTGACCTTTGGGGGGGGGCATGGCCCTGATGCCCCCCGCGACCGCCACTTGTACACATACACACATGCCGCTGAGATTACATACTAGCTCATGCAAACTCTATGCAGGCCCCGGAGTTCCCACGCTAATCCTTAAGAAACCAAGCCGGCATACGGCATCACCACCGGGCTTCTGAGGTGCACAGCACCAACCCATGAGGTCTTACTTTAGTGTCTTAGAGCCAATCTCCTTAAGCAGGGCCCACCCACCACTGCCGAAGAGGGTCTCATGCCAGCCATTGCTGGGCCTACGAGAGTCTCAAGTAAACCCACGCTGATATTCCATATAAGATCCGGCCATACTCGTGAACCGGTGCCAGCGACGCTGACCGCCAAATTGACAGAATGCGAAACTGAGCCCACTCATGATTGAAATTTACTTCCTTTGATGGCGCAAGAAAGAAAATGAAACATACGAAAAGCGTTTCTAGGACTTTTGTTCGATCTGAAAGGTGGGGCCAAAAGATAGTATGGCCCCACCTTTCAGCACCAAAGGGGGGGCCATGGCCCCCGTGGCCCCCCCCCCCCCCTGGGACCGCCAGTGGTCAAGTGGGGTTTCCATGGAGATATAGACAAACTCTTATCTCCAAGTTCCAACACTACCCCAAAATGTAACGTTAGCTCCTGGCAGGGTGCCAAGAGCGGATGGCGGCGTGGGCGTGCTGCTCTCGGCCGTGAAACACCGCCTAGTTGAGATGATTCCATGACGTTTTTTTTTTTCGTCTAGAAGATTTTCGTCGGACAATTATTCGTCCGCAAATTTTCGTTCGACTTTTTTCGTCTCGCATTTTTTTTCGTCTGTACATTTTTTCGTCCGTGCATTTTTTCGTCGGTACATTTTTTTTTCTGAGCGGAAACTGAGCTGAGCTGAATTGAGCGGAAACTGAGCTTAGCTGAACGGGAACTGAGTTGAGCTGAGCTGAGCTGAGCGGAAACTGAGCTGAGCTGAGCTGAGCTGAGCTGAGCTGAGCTGAGCGGAAACTGAGCTGAGCTGAGCTGAGCGGAAACTGAGCTGAGCTGAGCTGAGCAGAAACTGAGCTGAGCTGAGCTGAGCGGAAACTGAGCTGAGCTGAGCTGAGCGGAAACTGAGCTGAGCTGAGCTGAGCGGAAACTGAGCTGAGCTGAGCTGAGCGGAAACTGAGCTGAGCTGAGCTGAGCGGAAACTGAGCTGAGCTGAGCTGAGCGGAAACTGAGCTGAGCTGAGCTGAGCGGAAACTGAGCTGAGCTGAGCTGAGCGGAAACTGAGCTGAGCTGAGCTGAGCGTGAGCGGAGCGCAGCCGGTTTGAGCGGAACGTGAGCTGAGCTGAGCCGCGTTAAACTGAGCGGGAGCTGAGCGGGAGCGGATAAGACGGAGTTGAGCTGAGCGAGCTCACTTTTTTCTTGAGCTGTCACAAGTCTGCCCGGACGACGGCCGACGGGTTAGTAGGTGTGACTGTGAGCCAGTGAGCGGATGAGCTCACGGATGGCCCGCAAGGAAAGCGAAGACGGGTGCCTAAATCTTGAACCGTAAGGAGACTAGAGTCAATTTTTCTTTAACCTTGTGTAGTGTCGACCGACGAAGCCACCGGATCCTGGCGCCTAGTTGTGACGCTGGCCACCAGATGGCAGTCGGGCGGCGCCCGGAGATGAGCCGCCGGCACCAAAGCAATCATCCATCCAGATGCTACCTCCTCTGACGGGGCCGGCCGGCCACCAGTGCCGCCGCCCGCCGGTGACGGGAGGCAGTGTCACGTGCTAGTGTGCCTGCGTCTGGTCACGCTACGCCCGCCGGACGAAACTGCACGGGACTTTGTCGGTAAGGTAAGTGGCCGGATCACGTGGTGAACATTACATAAATGCGCAACTTCGCACTTCCGGGGGCCGGTGGCCCTTTAACCCTCGCTGGCACAGGCCATTTTGCGTTCTTTGACGCCGCGCGGGGGGGGGGGTGCGACCCCCTCGCGTTTGGCCCCTGATCGAGCTAGAGCTTCGCGGAAAAACGAGTTCGTGACGAGAGGAAGCCGGTGACGCCCAATTTAAAGGTCCTAGGTCATCGATTGACCTTCCAGGTCAGGTCAATGACCCAAAAGTGGGGAAAATCGGGACCTGTTAGAATGTCTTTACGTGTGGCTGCTATGGGTTTTTCGGGGTGCTGATGACGAATACCATGTTAGTTTTGATCACAGATGATATCTGTGGGCCAGGTCGGGTCAGGTCAGGTCAACCAGTAGGGGTTCTGCCGAGTATTCAAAGTACGTGTCAACCGCTTCTGACAGCTTCGTAACATGTTACGAAGGCACCAAAATTACTTCGTTTATGTTCAAATGATTGCTAAATTCGAATTCAGCCTCAGAAACTAGTCTAGAAACATGTAGAACTCGAAAAAGTGAACCGAGGTCATCAAAGGTCAATGACCTGACCTCAGACCTGACCCTCAGGTGACCTTGACACCCAACGTAATGCATGGGACCGACATCATAACACATGTCTGGACGCTTGAAACCATGAAAAGACTGCAAACACGTGGCTAATGCGGACCGACATACGCCGAATCGCGATTCCGGCCAAACATGGTCTCGAGAAATAGCCGAAATAGGTCACAGGTCAAAGGTCATTTGGGTCAGGATCATGACATCTTTAGGATAGGTGTAAAGTTGATTAACTCAAGGATAGGTACTGAGAGTTTCGTCGCGATCGCCTGCGTTTTACGCGAGTTTTTTTTTTTCGAAAATCCCTAGGGGGGTTGCATCAATCCCCCCGTGCCGGCGAGGATTAAAAAATCCTTCCGATCATCATGCCTCCCGTATACGGTCGTGATATACGGTCGTTGGGATATCGTGTGCATATGTTATGTTATATTGCGCCATCGTCAAAATAAGCTTAGATCACAAATTTTTGGGTAGGTTCATCGGTCGCGAAATTTCGCAACCGCTACCTCCGATTACGATGCACTGATTGACCAGCGGATCCACACATTTAAACTCATTTCAGACTTATGTCCGCCCTCCCACGGCCAAAAATTGATAGAAGCTTGTCGATTTCTTGCTTATGTAGAATGAAAACGGAGCATCTTTATGGCACTGCAGCTCAGGCCCCGGGGAAGTCGGAGTTATGCATAGCAACTCAAAAGGAAACGAAAACCGATGATTTTTTTAATTTTGATTTATTACGTTTTTTATGCATCTTCTAAAGTCATCACCTTGGATCCGACACGACAGTGCTTTGACAATTCATTGTGAAAGCTCCGAACCTATGAGATACGGCATCAAAATATTTGTACAGGAGAGACGTGAAAATGGGCATGAGCAATCAGCACACAACATGCCTAGCATGCACATTAATGCTAGGACGCAATAAAATGCGATGCAGGTATACTCTCATGGGTAGGTACGGGAAATGGCGGTTTTTGTTGATGCGCAGCGGTACCAGCCTGGGAGCCGGTTCCAGGCTGAAGTGACGTGATACACGGATAACCGCGTGTCTAGCCGACTGAGAACGGTGCAAGAATCCGACGCGAGTGACCGCTTTGTGGCATTATCTACATATCCATTCAGTGGCGGATCCAGGGGGGGGGGGGCTGCGGGGGCTGGCAGCCCCCACCCAAGGAAAACTGGCGCCACTGCGCCGAAGGCGCAGTGGCGCCAATTTTCAATTCGCAACTCATCGGAGTGTCGCATACTAGGACTAGGATGCAAAAATCAGTCGAATAACGTCGTTTCAGTACGCTCCGCACCGATATTTCCAATCGTGTGGTGTCACTGTACATACTGATCCTGCAGGCGCCTCTTGTCAGGGCCACTGGGCGCCAATATTTCAGCGCCAATACGATGCGACCATGGCGCCCATCCGGGGCGTGGCGCCCAATTATGACCTGCAGCCCCTCCCCAGTGAAAATCCTGGATCCGCCACTGTATCCATTCACTTTCAGAATCAATGTCTCCGATTTATTTATCGGAGTCAAATGTTTGCGGTCGCATCGGGTACCTATTCCTGGCTGATTGTTTCTATTATAGGGTCTCCATGGCATTTTCCGTCGTATAAATGTGTACCTCTGCATCAATGTTCATCGTATTATATCGGGTATAGGACTGTCTGCCGACTGCCAGTGACTACTGGATAGGACGGTAGATAATCTCCCGTCTTCCATGTTTCTGACAGATCCGTTCTTGAACCCGGATTATGGTCGCTCTCAGAAGCAGCGGCTGCACTTTGTCTGTGTTTAAGAAATGCTGGCAATTCCGTGACGTTTTACGCTGAATCATCAGGGCCACTCACATTTCGACCTGCGCATCGATAAACCCTAAGGGAGGAAGGCGCACGAGACAGATGTCTTTAACCCTCGCCCTGGCAGGGGGGTCGATGCGACCCCCCCTAAGGTTTTTCGAAGATAGCGTAAAAACGGCGGCACGCAGCGCCGCCAAATTTGACACAGCCTATGGGGCAACTTTTTTACATATGACCTAAAAATTTCAGGTCCGGGTGACCTTGGGTCAGGTCACCAGGTCAGAAAAACCGGTACAAGGTCGTGGTCAAATTTCAATTTTCTTTTTGCACCTGTCCAACTCACAGTTTTCGACTGATTTCCTTCAAACTTTCAGGATGTGATAAGTTCACCGAGTTGTATAACATATAGTCCGGCTTTTTTGAGGTCACTGACCTGAGGTCAGTTAGAGGTCATTACGTCGTAATGTTAAGCCTATGGGAAAATACTAAATTCGGAAAATACTGGAGATATCCGCTTCGTTCTATCACTTTTGTGCTTTGAAACCACGGTACTTAACAGCAGGTCACTTGGTGCTTCTTTGTTTGGTGTACTTATCCATGGGTCAAGTCAAATGAGGTCAACTGAAGACTGAAGTCAAATGACGTTTTTGCCAATAACTTGGCGCATAATGACGCTAGAGTTTAAAAAATGGTATCATTGTGTTCCTGGTGATCAGCCGAATCGAATGATATGCGATATGATGCAATTCGGTTAACTTGAACTTAATTTATTAATTTAAGTTTACTTAAAATTTAAGAAAAATTTTAAGCAAGCTTAAAAGATCATTTGACGCGCCTTGACGTGCTGAGTTCACTGGTGCTTTTTTTTGCTCTATCTTAATTAGATCAAAAGTTATAAGCGAAAAACTTTTGACCTGTTTTTAGCGAAATTTTTACATTTATACCCCCCAAAACCCCCTAAATATTGACCTAGAGCAACCAAATTTGCACAGGGGCGAGAACTCCAGGGGGCCCACCTATCTACCAAAATTTGGTGTTTCTAGGTGCCATAGGAGCCAATCGCGAGGGGGGGGTCGCATCGACCCCCCCCCCCCCCCCTGCCAGGCCGTGTTATGAAAAATGCCCTGCCAGGGCGAGGGTTAAACCGTCACCTTGCCATAGGGTGATAACCCTTGCCCGGATCGATGCACCCCCTCCCCTTCAGGATTTTTGCAGATAGATTGCGTGGGGTCGGGCAGCGGGCTCACCCATCTCACTCGTATTCGCCGAGCACAGCAGCATCAGCCATCAGCGTTCTGTGTTGATGTTTGCTGGACAACAGCAGAGCTAAATGTCATCTGAATGGATACAGCGTGAGCGTTCCAGCAAGGGACGCCGGTAGTCGAGTGGCGAGTCGGGAGAAAGTCTACGAGCCGGGCGATCCAGCTGGGCCGACACGGAACGTGACGACACGCGGGGGACGTGACATGGCAATAAGGCGATCCAGTCACTGCCCCGTGCACAGTGCAGGGCCGGGGGTCAACGGACGCAGGCAACGGAAGTGTAATTATCCGCGTACTTACAAAGCAAACCTATGATTTAATCACAGGCATGCACGGAGATGGTTGAATGGACTTAATAAGGGAAATTTAATGGCATGAATTTATGGAATGTCATAAATACCTATCATCTAATCCCTCGTAAAAGTCTTCACTTAACTTTTTAGGTCTGCGGGTGGAAATAAAAATGGGATCGCGGTAGCAGACCTCGCTGAACGGGCCGCGCAATAAACGTAAACTTTACTTACCGCTCAATAAACGGAAGCTTTACTTGCCGTGGCCCCACGTATCGTTTGGAAAATATGATCAATTGTCAGCAGCACTGAAATGTGATGACGTTTATACAGCCGAGATCTTTTGTCTTGATTGGGCAGCGTCTTGATGACATTTATTTTTTTTTAATGATAGAAAAACGGAAATTTGACGTAAGATGTTTGTGAATATACTGATAGAACTCAAAGTTACCCTTTTACACATGCATAAGGCAAAACCAACCCTTTAACGCATTGCATAGGTACATCGTAAGTAAGGCAAAATCAATCTACAATCTGTTGCCGCTGTCGGTGACGAGCCCGGCATCAGATGGTCGTGGGTCGGATTACCGGAGTTGGTTCGCCTTAACTCAGGCCCGTAATTCGTGCTCTTTGTGAAATAGAAACACCAAGGTCTTCATACAACTTAACAGACAGATCCCGAACCGATGGGTAAAACATTTATTGCCGAATACCAGCACACCTTAACAAAGCTAGCAATTCTACTAGCCTTTTACAGTTTCGGTCGCAAACTTTATATGAATGATCAACAATCATAGCAGTTCAAGGTAGGTACGATTTTCGCTACTAGTCGTTTATTGTTTTCGTTTCGGAAGCGAAAACAAGAAACGACTAGTAGCCGAAAAACGTACCTACCTTGAATTAAGATGTCTAGTCGTAAAAGCTTGAAATCATAAATCATAGCAGTGTCCTTTCTAGTAGGTAATTACCTACTCTGCCTATTTCCACTTGAGTAATGCTATTATAATGACAACCACTGTTTTTACGAGCGAGCGAGCGCAGCGAGCGAAGCGAAGTCTTTTCAATATAACGGAAAAATCTCAGCATGAGCGGCCCGGCCCGGCCCGGCCCGGCCTGTAACGCTTTTGAGAGGCTTATATCTCAGCAACCGCTGGACCGATTGGCCTGCGGTCTTTTTTGCTGGGTAGCCCCATCCCTTCTACCCCGGAATTGACTATACTTTTGATGCATCTCAGTGACCGTCGTGGCACGTGCCACGTGAAAAGTCAAGGGTGTTCAAGCAGTTTTGCAAAAGTAATGATTTTGAGAGGCCCATATCTCAGCAGCGGCTTGAGGGATTGTCTTGCGGTAATTTTTATAGGGTAGCTGCATCCCTTCTACCAAAGGTCGGATACTCTTGATCTATGTGAGTGACCCCCACTGCACGTGCAAAATACAAAAATAAGAGGTGTCAAATTTGTTCCCATTTCAGTAACTCGGTAATTACTGGGGCGATTTCGCTGAAACTTGGCATACAGGTGGGCACTGGGCACCCACCAGGCAATGCATTCCCATGTGTTGCGGTTAGGGTGCTACTGCACGTGCGCACGTGCAGGGGGCGTTTCCAGATCTCGAGAACGGCTGGGCCGATTGCGCTCAAATTTGGTACACGGTTGGGGACCGGTTAGTAGGGTGCCGTGCAAAAGTCATTTTGGACCCCGTTTGCAAGTGCGCACGTGCAGAATGCCGCTTCCAGATCTCAGGAACGGCTGGGCCGATTGCGTTCAAATTTGGCACACCGCTAGCGACCGGTTAGAAGGGTGCTTTGCACAAGCCCGTTGGAAGTACCATCTCGCCCTTCCGCACGTGCAGGGCTCACTGTCTCGCTCGCTCGTTCTTCGCCCAAAAGGCGTTTTACTGGTTTTATGGGCTCGATAGGTACAGTGTACGTACACTGCACGTAGACTTTCTTTGCCTTTTATTTCACTCGGCTCAAATACCTATGATGCACAATTAGATCTGCGCAGTATATGTAGGTACCCATGACTGCTGCGGAGTAGCCCGTCGCCGCGCGGTCTGACGTGACGGTGTTTACGCAGAGTAGCCCGTCGCCGCGCTGTCTGACGTGAGTGACCTAACGGGGTGGCCAGTCGCCGCGCGCTGTCTGACGTGAGTGACCTAACGGGGTGGCCAGTCGCCGCGCGCTGTCTGACGTGAGTGACCTAACGGGGTGGCCAGTCGCCGCGCGCTGTCTGACGTGAGTGACCTAACGGGGTGGCCAGTCGCCGCGCGCTGTCTGACGTGAGTGACCTAACGGGGTGGCCAGTCGCCGCGCGGTCTAACGTGGCGGGGTGGCCAGTCGCCGCGCGGTCTGACGTGACGGGGTGGCCGGCAGGATGAAGCTGCACGAGTGGGGCCTGCTGCTGCTGGCCTATGTGCTGCTGCTACTGATCGGAGCCGCCTCCTTCTACTTCCTGGAGCGGGGACACGAGGAGGCCCAGAGACAGCGGCTGCTGCAGCTGAGGAGCGAGGTTCACAGTAAGTCAGCCGGATACATGCTGTAATTCAGCACCGTCAGTGGCCAAACCCTTTCCAGTTATCCCTTTTTAACCCTCGCACGACCAGGCCATTTCTCATAACACGAACGACCAGGGGGGGGGGTTGTTACGACCCCCCTGGCGTTTCGAAACGGAAGGTCGTAGAGCTTAGCGGAAAAAACCAACGGATTGCTCTCAACGAGATCTCGCGATTGGTGGTATATTTTTTGGTCCTAGGTCAACATTTGACCTACTTATGACCGGTCAAAGGTCAAATTTTCCGAAAAAAAATCAAACTTTTTCAACTTTCCGCGGCGATTGCGGCAAAACGGTGGAAGATATCGACTTGAAACCTTCACTATCGTGTTCCTTGATCAATTCTCTATCGTTTGGTATGTATTTCGTTTCCCTAGCTCTAAAAATGGCGCGTTGGGAGCGCCGGAAGTCGGCAAGGTCACAGTCGGCGGCAGAAATTCGAAAAATCAAAATTTAAATTTTTGAAATCTGATTGTATTTTTGGATTTGGGAGGTCCATTTGCTCCCTATAGAAGCTAATATTGCTGCATATTCCCATTGAGGTGACAAGAATTAGCAAAATAGTGGTTCGGGCGCTTTTCAAAAATAGTACCGGACGCTGTTCCTCTTGTGACGTCATAGCTCCGTGACCTGACCTGACCCGGTCAATTTTCTTGCACCACACGATAGCCAATGCTTGCCCCAACATGCATGGGAAGTTTTTCATCATGATCCATCAAACAATGTGGGTATCACCGGCAGAAAACCTAGGGATTCGGCGCACACGTTTGGTAACTGTCGGCCGGAGGCTGTACCTCTTATGACGTCATAAATCCGTGACCTGACATGACCCGATCATTTTTTTTCGGCAAAAGATGCGCAAAGGTTGCCCCAGAGGGTATTGAAAATTTCAGCCCGCTACGACAAGCCGTTTAGCGTGCACTTCGAAAAAACCTCAGGGGGGGGGGGTTGATACAACCCCCCCTAGGCGTTCTAGGGTTAACCTTGAAAAAAGCGAACTATTTCAAAGGGAATTTTGAAAGTGTGAACCAAATTGACACTTCAACAAACTGTTAAAAAAAAACTCACTTAGTTATCGGTAATGAAATACCGGGTGGCCAAGAAATAACGTTCCCAACTTTAAATCAATATTTCTCAGAAAGTGATGAAGATACAACATTGAAACTTTTAATAGTCAATGCGCCATGCGGCATATGTTTTCAGTAAATGGTATGATTTTTATGTTATTCGGTCAATTACTTTTTAAACGGTTCGTGTTTCTAGCATGCCATGTAAAAATTACTTTTTTGCTCAGATGTTTACTAAAAAAATGTGAGTGAACGGGCGACTTCCATCTCAGCACGACGGCCTGCAGCCATGACTGCTACTGGCAGCTAGTCTCATTGACGGTCGTCAAGTTAGATGTAAGTGAATCCTAATCTATAATCTAAGATTCGGAATCAGGTGAGCCCCTACGATTTGAACCAAACTTGGTCAGTGGATAGTACGTAACGTCCTGATTACGATGCACCCAAAATCTAAGCTCGGCCCGCCATATTTACGAAGTTACGGATGTTTGAATTTCAAGGTCATTCGGGAGAGCCCCTACGATTTCCGTCAAAATTTGTGTACGGACACTCATGATGCTCCTCATTACGAATATCACAAAATTTAAGCTCGGCCCGCCATATTTACGAAGTTACGGAGGTTTGAATTTCAAGGTCATTTGGGTGAGCCCCTACGATTTCCGTCAAAATTGGTGTACGGACACTCCAGACGCTCCTCATTACGAATATCGCAAAATTTAAGCTCGGCCCGCCATATTTACAAAGTTACGGAGTCACAAAGTTACGGAATTTCAAGGTCATTCGGAGAGCCCCTCCGATTTTCGTCAAAATTTGTATGCGGACACATTACATGCTCCTCATTACGAATATCATAAAAGCTAAGCTCGGCCCGCACTATTTCAAAAGTTAGAGATGTTTGAATTTCAGTGAGTTTCAAACGTCAGTAACTTTTGAAATAGTGCGGGCCGAGCTTAGCTTTTATAATGATATTCGTAATGAGGAGCATGTAATGTGTCCGCATACAAATTTTGACGAAAATCGGAGGGGCTCTCCGAATGACCTTGAAATTCCGTAACTTTGTGACTCCGTACCTTCGTAAATATGGCGGGCCGAGCTTAAATTTTGCGATATTCGTAATGAGGAGCGCCTGGGGTGTCCGTACACAAATTTTGACGGAAATCGTAGGGGCTCACCCAAATGACCTTGAAATTCAAACCTCCGTAACTTCGTAAATATGGCGGGCCGAGCTTAAATTTTGTGATATTCGTAATGAGGAGCATCTAGAGTGTCCGTACACAAATTTTGACGGAAATCGTAGGGGCTCTCCCGAATGACCTTGAAATTCAAACATCCGTAACTTCGTAAATATGGCGGGCCGAGCTTAGATTTTGGGTGCATCGTAATCAGGACGTTACGTACTATCCACTGACCAAGTTTGGTCCAAATCGTAGGGGCTTACCTGATTCCGAATCTTAGATTATAGATTAGGATTCACTTACATCTAACTTGACGACCGTGTCTCATTGATGGTTCAGGCCTCAGGGTGACACATTCCCTCTCGCCTTTTTCCTTATTCGGTCGATTAACTGTTTGGTCTTCTTAAATGGAGGGCGATCAGCAGTAACCCATGCACCGTGCCACTCCCTCTGCTCGAAACAGGACTCAGTGTTGAAACCAATCGCATCAATTAACACCATTTTGGCTCAATATTTGAATATTTGGCACATAAATGGGACAAATATATTGGAAAACCCGGTATAAAATAACAACACACGTGCTGGTTTCATTCACGTGTTCTATTTTTCTATTTTTTTTTTTAGAATGGTACGTCTAAGCCAATCATCACTGCCGTTCAACATCGGCAAAAAAGCAAAAACGTCTAACTTAATTCAACATAAGATTGCTGGCTTGAAAATGATGGTACAGTGTTATTACTTGGCATACCAATGCGCAAAGAAGTGACGCAAACTTGATCAAAATTTTGGCTCGTTATTTGCACTCGAATTTTAGATATAGGCATTCAAAGTTCGGAACGTTTTTTTTTGGGGGGGGGGGGCACCCGGTATAAGGATATGAGCTACCGTACCAACATAAGTCTACCGACCAAATTTAGTAATGGGTGTTCAAATCTTAACTGCAATTCTTGGAGCTGGGCACTGGTCAGGTATTGTCTTGGTTGCCGGCACAGTTAGGTATAGTAGAAATATTAGTATTCACAGGCGATACGTCTGCCGCCATGACGTCTTTGCCTATGTCAGCTTTTTGGCTAGTGCGCGTCCGATCTGATAAACTGGTCAGTAACCACGGGCCACGGGCCAAGGCCACCGCCAAGTATCGAGGCGCGTTTTATCCCTCCTATCCGCCCCAGCTCTGGGCCAAAAACAAATGCCAAATATTAAATATAACTATTCAACGATCTCTTCATATAATAAGACCATGGTTAGACTGACGTTTCCAATCAAAGGAAGCATTGCTGGTTTTCATTATAACCAAGCCTAGCATAACCATTTTGACCATTTTTCACTGGTCCATGCTTTTTTTATACTTATGTCCAGTCCACGGTATATGGTGAACTTGTGTCTTACGTCTTAATGCTTATGTCATTGTCTTATGCCTTATGTCTTATGTCAATGTGCGCTTCTGGGGCACATGCTCATCCTGCGTTGTCTGCCTGTGTCGCTAGGCTGCGTGTCTCGCCGGGAAGAGCTCTATGGTTAGCGGTTACTGGTTACGACTGGTTCAAGGTCGGGTGGCTGCTGTGCGGCATTAACCATGTTTGTGCGTGCGCTGCGTGCTGCGCTCCCGCTGAGGACGGGCAGAGGGCCGCGCTGCAGTTGCGACAGAGGTGACTCCGGGCCGGATACCGTAAATCTCACCGCGGTCCGACAACCTTGCGCCGACGTCTGGGTTGCCGGAACGGGTGTGGATCTGGCTTTTTACCTCGCGACAGCGGTGGTTCCTGAGTTTAGTCCCACATAGCACTTATCCATGGCAGTGTTCGCCACGGGCCCCAAAATCCCCAGCCCAGCCCGGCCCGGGCCCATGGGTTCAGAGCCCGGCCCAGCCCGTAGCCCGCTCTTGGCAAATATTCCAAGCCCAGCCCGGCCCGGCCCGTCAAAAATAGCAATCTAGTTATTGTCTTAGTCTATTGCTATAATAAGCATGATTGATTACACTATCTTGAGAACAATTCAAATTGCATGAATATTAACATGGCAATCATGACTCCCCTCTTTTCAATGAATATAATGATTTCAAGCACCTATGGCACAAATTTTAACAGTAACAGCAAGCACCTCAGTCAATTAGGTCATGATTACACACCTATAAAAAGTTTACATGATTATATTAACTACATTCTATGAGCAAAGTTATCTTGCAAGCTGATGTGTAAGAACATTATCATTCATAATTGGTGACTCTAATGCATACTTGAAGGAAGTATTTGTCACATACTCTATACTTCCCAGCACTTACCAGCAGAAAAAAGCTTGACTTATGGGAATTGATGAATCTGTCTGGGATTGACCTTGCTGTTAAATTCACTCCATAGATGCTGCAATATCAAAAGCCTGAGAAAGCATACAAAATAGGTGACACTAACTTTAGCACTGTCTTCCAAAAAAAGAGAAAATCCATCCATTTATCAGCAAAACTGATCTTATCTATTCTCAATTCATGCCCACGTGTCAACCGAATCTCTGTGGACAACTATCTGCTACTTTCCTTGCTATTTTATGTTAGGCACTTTTCAAGATATGGATATCGCTAGCAGCGTAAGCAGAAAACATGGTAAACTTGAAATGTCATTGGGTACTTTTGCGACTTTTACGCATCATTATCATCGATCGAAAATGAGCGAACACTTCTTATTTGTCGCAGCTGCGGCAGGTAGCGATTTTGACCAATTGTATAATAA